GCTGTTCTAACATCAGGCCAGGCCAGGCCAGGTCCTGGGTCCGGGCTGCAAAAAGGGGTGCCAAGTGGTTCTGCCCACCCACCCATAGGAAATGCTACTTTGCCCCGTTTCTCCATCCATTCCAGGCCCAGTTCTACGGCAATCGAGAGATACACGAACAAGTTCCTGCACGTCCTCAGGCAACAAAAACAGAAATTGTATTGGGCTATCCTTGCACACATAGATACTCACCCACACACATACACCCACACACACACACACACACACACACAAAGGAATAAGGCAAATGGCCTTTCACGGTCGTTGCCGTCACTCATTCGTCGTTGTTGCCTGCCTCTGCTGCCTGCCGCTGTTGCCTCTGCTGTTGAACAGCTTTCTGGCCCGGCAACAACACGAGAAGGCAGCATTGGGTGGCCATAGCCAACAAGGCTCTTTCTCTTCCCCCGCCACCCGTCACCCGCCACCCCATTCCGTGGCACGAAGCAGCGAGAAGGCAGGTCGGGCCAAACGGGTGGGTGGTGGCCGAGCGCACGTTTTCCACTCTCTGTCTCAACGCCTCCTCTCTCTCTCTCTTAAGCCTTCGCTTTCGCCCACTCTCCCTCTCTGTTGCTTGCCTACTCATTTGTGTGAAACTTGTCGCTACCCCGCATCCTGCCACACGGCTGAGGGATGCCCCATGCCACGCAATCTATGGTACTATGGCACAACACTCCCCCCCCTGAACTGTAATTGAAAAGAGTCGAATGCGCCCACCTGTATTTAACGCTTACTGAAGCCCCAACGTGCGGGAGTGGGCTGAGATGCTTGTGCAGCCCTCTGACTTAATTCAGTTATAATAACGTTGCATTGCGTGCCAGCCGTGTTGCCACGGTTGCCCTGGCCCTTGGGTGCCTCATCGAATTGCATCTTCGGAATGAAGCTGCTGGCTTATTCTTTGTTGTTTTGTCCTTACTCCTTGGTAGCTTTGGGCTACACCTACAATATATGTATATTTCCGGTAAAGCTTACAGCTAACCTACGCTCCAGCCTGCTCCTGGACACGCACTTATTTACAGGATATCCCTGGGTCCAGTCTGCTGTGGCACATTTGCTTTGGATGGGTCGCTTGACTTGGTTTAATGCTCGCTTTTCTGACGACCGAGGAGCGAGGAGACGGCGACGGCGACAACATCATCATCATCATCATCTGTATCATCAGTATCAACCCCACCATCCACCATTCACCATATGGCCCCCACACACATCCCCACCCTGCTACACCCTCTGCGTTCAAAGTTCGTTTTATTATGGTTGAGTGCTGCCACTGCTACTGCCACTGCCACTGGCTCTGCTTCGGTCGCTGTCTCTGCAGGCGCCACTGCCACAGTCTGCTGCTGCTGCTGCTGCTGCCCCACAAAAATTCAATGTGCGCCCGCAAAAGCAAAAGCAAATAAAACTTTATCATTTGGGGAAGCCCTGCGCTTTCATAGACTCTCTCCCTCTCCACACAAACACACACACACACACTCTTTGTATCTGTGTGTGTGTCTGATGAAGAGGTTTGGCAACACACACACACACACACACACATGCATGCAGGCATACATATGGCAGACACACACAGAGATACACTACACGTGTACTTTTTCACGTTGCCTTGTTCTACCACCCACACAACCCCCCACCAGCGCCCTCCCTATTTTTCGCCTGCTCTTAACTTTTCCCTTAATTTCTTGTTTTCATTCTTTTTTTGTTGTTGCTGCTTTTGTTTTTGTTTTTTGTATTGCTTTGTGTACATATTTTGCTCGCTCTTACCGTGCCCTGCCCTGCCCTGCCTCATGCCTCTTGTGGCAGGTTCCACAGGGCGGTCGGGTCTGCTACAGGTACTCCTCCTCGTACTCCTCGTATATGGATGGCATGGGCATGGCATGGTTTGGGGTTTTATTTTGGCCATACTCTCCGCAGAATTTTCTGGGGCCTGGATTTCGTTTTACGTTTATTTATTTATTTTCCTTTCCTTTCGTTTGCTTTCTGTTGCTGCCACCCCCTTAACTACTTGTTTTTGTTGCTCCTTGCCACTTTTGGGCCACTCTGCCCTGACCTTTTTAGTGGCTCTAGCGGGGGGCGGTGAGGTACGAGCGTTGGCGTTGGCGTTGGCTTTGGCGATGGGGTGAATTTTCTGGGCGTGGCTGCTGCTGCCCAGAGCTAGAGTCGGGGCGAGGAGTGGCAACCAGTGGAGTGTTTTGTTTATGGCTATGATACCGGGCCGGGGCAAAAGGAAACCTTTCTTTATGCCACCTGAAGTGTGGGCCACAAGTTGGGCTTTAAGCAAAGTTGAGGAAGGCAAGCGGATTAACCATGGCTGAAACTTCTTCGATAGACAACTGGCTGACTCTTCTTGTTCATTTAATAATAGAAACAATCCCAAATCAGTCTCAAGCAGTTTAATTTCCGCGAACTAAAATTAATTCCAAGCTAAAATGCCAAATTAAATGAAAATGAAAATGCAAAACGAAATCCGAGCAATCAGCAAATGGAAACGGTTTCTGGGAGGGACATTGTGGCCACACCTAGACCTACATACATACACAAGCAGCTACATTTGTGGCACTTAAGGACGCTGCACCTTCCAGCCTTTCCCCCTCTCTATCCCATTTCAAGGAAAAACTATAACCAACCAAAAGCCTTTTTTCATTCGAAATGGAATTGGAATGCGAATGAAACACAAAAGTTGCCAAAGGGAAAACAGGGAAGCAGAAAACAAGAGGAGAGAAAAAGAGAACAGAAAACAAAGGTAGCGATGAAATGAAAATACACAGAAATAACAGTACCCAGAAGGCAGCAGCAAAGTAGTGCAAGGGCTGGGGTGGTGGGCGCTTCCTTTGCTCCACAACTCTCGAGTTTTCCCCCCCCATAAATTATCTGCACAATGGCCAAGAGCAAAGAGCCAGGGCCAGGCAAAGGCAAAAGGCTTCCAAGAGGGCGGCAATAAAAAGGAAAAACCTCGAGCTAAACCAAATAGGTATAGCCAAACGAAATGGAACCCAGGAAGAGTCTATTTCAATTTTCACGTAGTTGGTGACACACAGAACGCAGCTAGAAAGGGGGGGCCGGGGCCGGGGCCGGGGCTGGCCAAGGATGAGGCACCAAAGTCAAAGGCAAACTCGGCTTAAGTGCTGCCTACCTACCTGCCACACAGTTGCAAAGGCAAAGCTCCACCCTGCCTGCCACACAGTGTGGCAGTCACGGAGCAGCCAAGTCGAGCCGTAGCCAAGTGAGACGCGGAGCGGAGCGCTCTGTACATGTTGCGCTTGTCAGTCAGCGCCACAGTGGCACCTGGCTAAGGCGTCCAAGAGGCCATTCGATTTGAAGTTACTGGCATGTTACCCCCCATGAGCAGGTGCCCACTGTACTTGTGCGACGAACTGAAATACTTGGCACATATCAAAGGCAAGGCGTACTTGTATCTCATTTGGCAAAAGTATCTGTGGAAGGGAGCGTGCTTTAGGAGGATGGGGGAGGGGGCAGAGGAAAGAGCCAGAAGCGTGTGGGCAGAAGAGGTACGAGCATGAGAGGCAGCCCCCGCCAGGCCCCACCAGCACTGCAACAAAGTATCAGAGTATCAGAGAACGCAGTGGCTGTCTTTTTAATAAGTTCAAGCTGTGGCATGAGGGCACAAGCAGTGGCAGGGGTAGGGGCAGGGGCAGCGGCAGCGGCAGGGGCAGCGGCAGAGGCAACAGCAGCAGAGGCAACAACCGAGGCAACATGTCTAACAGGCAGAGCAAAGTGACGCAAAGTATCTGCGACTGTGGCTGTGCCTGAATTCCAAGTATCTGTGTATCTGTATCTGTGGCTTTGGCTGTCTGCCTGTTGACTACAAGTTTGTATCTGTGTGTGTGTGTGAGGGTACACACTAACACACACACACACATGCAAACAGCAGAGAGTTCATGCCGCTTGGTGAGCTTGATTTTGAGGCCATTACACGGGGGCGACACTCCCCGACACTCCCCGACACAACGACTACGACTACGACTACGTCAGCGTCGATGACTTGCTGCCTTGTTTGTGTCTCTTTTACCCCCCCTTTCGCTTACCCTGTTTCTGCCCTAGCCCCAGCCCCTGCCTCTTCCACGTTCTTTTAACCATTTTTGTTTTGTTTGCTGCTTCTCTTTGAAAGAGCTTCCCAGCTGCAGCGCTCTCTCTCTCTCTGTCTCTCTCGCCCGCTCGCTCTCACCGTGTTTGTTTGCTTGCCTTTTGTGTGCGCTTGGGGATTACGTAAGGGAATCCCCAACATTTTGCAGCGCGCACGCCACGCAACCGAAATGATAAGGGGGGAAAGCACCAACAGTGGTGGGGCATGGAACACTGCCTGTGGGCTGGGTGGCTAGGTGGGTGGATGGGTGTTCCCCCATCGTGGCCGTTGTTTAATGTTTTATGCAAGCTCTCCCTCCCTCCCTCTCGCTCACTCGTTCGCTCTTCCGCTCTTTCGCTTGTTGAGCAAGTGCGCGGCGGCGGCCTGTTCAAGTAGTCGTGGCACAAATAATAATGCAAAAAACATGTATCTTATGGATACAATTCGCTCACAGGCAGATGGGTTGAAGCGGGGGGGCGTGGCACACACAAAACTGAATGCTGAATTTTTCACTTTTGCATATTTCGCATCGCACTTCAGCGGGCCGGAGGGGGCGTGGGTTGGGGTAGGTTTCAGGGGGGTATATGTATGTACATAGATTGATATCCCGCCATATGGCGGCTACAGTTGCTAAGGAGACCCTTGACTCTGCCGTAATTGAAAGCCCCTGCCGTGACTTTGGTTCGAGTGCCTGAGGATATCTCTTGGGTCGAAAACTTTCCTGCAAAAGCCGTTCAAGTTTTGTCGTCCTTGAACGAATGTATCAAATTCCAGCAAAGATTTCCAAAGAAGTTCGCAGCAGCAGTCGAAGATGGGTTGTCTTTTGTTTCGGGGAGGGGGCGATCAGTTTTTTTGTGCTTAATGAATAACATGAAAAGATACTTACTGCCTCGGCCGCTGCCCCTGCGTCGCGCCATTTTTCCTGCTCCCAGATATGTGCGTGGGTGTGGCTGTGGCTGTGTCCTTGTTGCGCTCCTCCTTGTGCTTTTCCTATCTTGGCTATCACATGGGACAACTGTTGGCCACTAGGAGTATTTCCTTACGCCTGATTGATGTATATTTAATAGGACCAGTCGACTGGGTTGTGTGCCCCGTGTGTGTGTGTGTGTGTGTGTGTGAATGTCCTTGACGCACACACCACAACAATGGCTACCCCGCTAATGTCCTTGCTGTTGTCCTCGTCCTCGGCTGTAAGTTCGGTTGTGTGTGTGTGTGTGTGTGTGTGTGTGGCCTGGTTCCTGCCTCGCTTTTATTTGCCCACTAGACAAATGGGTGAAGGGGCCCTGCCAGTGTCCATGTCCCTCGCTGTCGTCGTGTCCTGCTAAATGTCCTGATATGCCTCTAGCCGGATGACGTAGCTCGCTCTCTCATCGCTGGCCGCCTCGCCGCTTGCCTCTCTCCGCCCCAGTACCTTTCGCCTACAGTCCTTGGCCTGCGATTAGGGGGTTTCCCAATTTTAGTTGCTGTTGCTTCTGTTGCTTCTGGTTGCTTTGGTCTGTTCTCCCCTTCTCTTTTTGTTGATGTTGCTATTGTTGTAAATATGTTTGCTCTGGTGTATAGATCCATATACATAAATGTATGTGTGGGTGTGTCTCTTGTATGTGTGTGTGCTGTATATATTTATTTAATTCATTTTGCGATATCTTCTGGTGGCTCTACTTTTGATTATTGTAAATACTCGAAAATGTTTATTGGTTTCTCTATTTGATATGCCTTTTTGTCGGTTTTTTGTTGCTGTTTTGATTCCCTCGTTTTGTAGATCTTGTTTCTGTTTCTGCTGTTTCTGCTGTTGCTTTGTTTGCTGTTTCACCATCAGATTGTTGCTGTTGCACAAGCCTGTTGTCGTAGGCCGCCGCGTTTTTAATGCATTTATTAGCACTACGTTTCGTTTCGTTTTCCGCACGCAGGACTACGTCACCGTTCTCTACCGATTACCGTTTACCGTTTATCGTTTATCGTTAATCGTTGACCGTTGACCGTTACCGACGTTGACTAGCGATCGAAGTTTCGGCACCACCACGGGGCGTATACGCAACACAATAACACTCGATAGCACAATGTTGCAACTTGCATCCAAAGCAAATGAAACTAAATCGCGTTTAAAAAACAGGCGCGCAAATTCTTTCAGCAATTCTTCTCTTTGCTCTCCTTCTCTCACACCATTTGCACTATGAAGATTTTTCTTATCATCTGATGGCATGCCTACGCGCGTGTGTGTGTGTGTGTGTGTGCGTGTGCGTGAGTATCTCACTTTTTAATATATGCTTTATATGGCGAATTCTATAAATAATCTGCTTGAATATATATACTTATTTCGCTTTTATTCCAATATTATTTGTTGTTTTTTTTTTTTGTTGCGCATTTACCGTTCTGCGAGAAGCGCGCCTAACGAGATGCTTGCGTCTCGGCGTTCGCGGTAAAACAGAGCCCCCCACAGAAAGCAGACCCCAACCGAAAGCCCCAATTTCACGTTTAAGAGAGAGAGAGAGAGAGAGAGTCATGCAATGAGAGGCGGCACTTAAGAGACTTGAAAGCTGAAGAGCACAAACAGTAAAATATAAACGAGCTTTTAAGCTAGTCAGTTAGTTCCAAAAATGGCCGCTGTTATATGTGGTGCGCCGGTAAAACCGTTGAGATTCGAAATTCTCTATACTGTCATGTACAAATCGTGTAGAGCGCGTGCCTCAAAGGCCTTTTGCTTAAAGGCCTAAAAGAAGACTAACTAACTGTTCGACTTTAAAAGGCTTAAACTGAGGTACATATGCACTGTATTATTATCACTCCTGCTGATATTATGCATAAATACATAAATAGTATTGTGAGTCCTACCACTAAGCAAACAACACATAGAGATAGAGGCGTCAAATCGACTAAAAACTGCCTGCATAAAATTGTTGTGTTGTTTGCTTAGTGGTCCTACATTGGACAAGTTTTCTCTCCACTTGTTTTTTTTTTGTTTGCTGCCTTACTCAATGCTAAACAGAACACAAATTCCAAAGAACTGTTTGCCGATAATAGCTTTGACACAACCTGCCCCGGTCGAAAGCTGTTCTCTCTGCCTGGTGTCAAGGGGCACAACAATGCGGTGTCAGTGGAAATTAATGTATGGGAAAAATGGGTAAACATCTGCGTCAGTGTCTGGGTGCGTTGGGGTGGCGGGGTTTAATGAACCATCGACACTGGCAGCTGTGAGTGGTCTCAACCGTTGTGACATGTGAAAGGCGTGGCCTTGAGCTCGTTAACCGGCAGCCATCTCATCCGCCCCATTGCAACCCAGCACAAGCCCAATTCCCTGTGAGAGGAGATTATGTTGTGCTGAAAAGGACTGTCATAATTTTCTTAACATATTTCATATGAAGTAAATGCACAAATCATCGAAATTGATTGGAGCTGCAGCCCACTCAAGCCCACTTCCCATCCAACATACTCCCACCCAAAAAAAAAAACACAGAGCCCACTACAATGTTCAACAAATCATCAATGAAAGTGCGGCACGAAAGTGTTTCGGACAAGCAGCTGACGTTTGTTTACGTGTTGCCACGCGCCGGCGCCATTTTGCCGGGGAAATTCGAGTGCGAAAAATATAATTTGGCGCCAACGCTCCTCAGCGTTTGTAGTCGGCAAAGAACAGAGCGCGCGAGCGGATCATACGCGCGGAAAACGACGGATAATTTTACGGAAAATTCTGAATTAGTAGTGGTGCAAATCACACTCAAACCTAATTGTTTTCGGCAAGTGCTTTTCCAAAACAAAAACAAACAACTTTTCAAGTGTGAAATGGTTTTTAAGATTAAATAAAGTCCTGTTAGGACTTGAGGGTGGTTTTCTGACTCATACTCGTGTCATCTTTATTAGAGCAATCAGAAGGGTGAGCACTACTCAATACACCCACTACAATCTTCTACTGAAAATACGGAATTCTGCACGATCTTCTGTACACAATCGTAAATAATGGACCCATATTTCTGCCCATATTTCAACCTTGCGCTGTGGAGCCTTCGTCGAGCTTCTCGCGAGATATATGTATATTTTTTTTTAAATTGCTTCTCTTTAAGCAATAGAGCCGCCAAGAGCGATACAAAATCCAATCCAAATCAAATTAAGTTACATTACAAATATAAAATTATTATTTAATGCGATATTTATTTAACATTCAAAGTTTTTTATAGTTTTTTTTTTTTTTTTGTATAAAAATGTATAATTTTACGTAGGTAAATTGCCTTGGCAACCAAGTTCAACTTTGACAGTTTATTGTTAAATTTCTAGACCTCAAAGTACCGTGTACTCATGCAGACCATATTTTGGAATATTTTTCTTTTAGATTCAGTTTATTTCATGATTCATTTCATTTGAAGGTTATTAACTTAGCAAGCTGAAATGGCGGAAGGGCCCAATGCTCGTCGCTTAACTACATTTCCGAATTTCTCGTTTTTTAAGAATTTCATACATACATAAACATATACATATATGTATATGAACATATGTATTTATTATCTTTGTATCCGCTCGGTTGCTTCCATCTAACCAGAAAAAATGATTGAAGTAAAGTAATTTTTTTTTAAATTGTAACCATTGAACCACAAAAATGATCAACTTTTTACATATTAATTAATGGCATCAGCGAATCATAAAGCTCTGCAAATTGAGAAACAAAAAAATTCTGTTTTGCTAACAGGAATTTGTTATGGATTCCACTCAAAACGAGTATGTATGTATATACATATGCATACATATGCATGTGTGATGGAAAAATTGAAATAATATTTGTATGGCAAATACGCATCGTAATGATGGTTACCAAAATTGCCAAAACTACAAACATGATCTACATACATGCATGTATGCACATATTTACATATATGTATTTTAATGTATCATTTATAGGGGTAGAAAATGTGAGAATTTCAGTTAGTTTAATAATATGCTGTAAAGGAAGGAGAATGCAGTGACAGTGCCTCAATATTGTGTACAAAGAAGGATTGTAGGTCATTGTACTGGGATGCAAGATGTTAACCATTGTTCCTTTATATCCTTCGCACATTCAAGGTCTGAGCCACCAAGCAAAACCCTACCCATGTTGTTCAATGTCCTGAATGTAATCAAACATCTGCATAAATCAATGGAGTACTTGGCCGAGCTGGAATATTTGACCATGTTCAATCATTCGGAAGCACAATGTAGGTAATACGGATGCCCAAACTATCTACGTAACTTAAATCTAAGCATCGTGGAATTTTTTGGAATGTAATGGAAGCATCTAGGTTATGTCAAACACATACCACATACACTGGCTGACTCTATCTCGCGATGCATAATTCAGAAATAATAATATGGAATGCATTTGAGCTACTCGTCCTTATGACAAATCAAGCTGGAATTTGGTTCTTTTCAAAGAGAAAGAATTTAATTAAAAAAACAATGAAAATTCGGTTGTTTTTTTTTGTCTATTTTATGGCATGGCGTCAGCTTCTATCATTCGCCCCGCCAGGAGGGATCTGTTGCTATCGCTGCTGGATGCTTTTTAATATACCAGTTTCAATGGCAAGCGGTATGGGTCATTTTAATAAAAAAAAATAAGGCGACTCTGGGAATGGCAGTGGAATAGAGATGCTGTCATGTCCATTATCACAGTTCATTATCTCAAATTGCCAGCAATATTCTGGGCCAAGCCAGAGCCAAGCGAATAATGTTTCCATGCCGCATGTACTTAAAGGGAATGCGAATAAATCCTCATTTAAAGGCCTTCAAGTTTCGCCCCAGACATCTGACATTAGAATGACTTCAGAATTAATGGCAGTTAATTAGTTGGCTCATGGTGAGTCTCATTTCCTAACCGAAACGAACCTACAACGGTTTGATTCGTTGGCCTCTGGCCATAGGAAAGGATTTTTCTCAATTCAAGGACTTCCAGCTGTGTTCCTTGTCGAAACCGGAATAGCCATCCACTTGACAATGTTAAGCAATCAGTTTTCTGAGCTTTGTCGAACTAATTGTCATTTCGAAATAATGGGAGGAATATTTTGGTTCACAGTCAAAGAGCAAAGACATATTTTGCTCAATCAAAAATACACTTCACTTCGTGTGTATTCCATAAGTCGCCTTGGCAAGCGGATTGAATGACAAATAGCTTGCAATCAATACATAAATTCACCTTTGAGTTCCTCCGAGTGGATGGGTTGGAAAATGGATGCCACTTGAAACGTAAAACGAGAGGCATTAAAACGAGGCGGGTGACCCATTTCATGCCCCAGATCATTGCCATCGTCATCAACATTATAATATGGATTGGTATTGACATCCCTTTTTGCATTAATATATTGCCACAATTATATTAAATATGTGGGAAGCTTGCAAACGGTTAACGTCAGGTGCTTTTCCGGCTAAAAGATACAGTGTACATACAATGCTGCTCCTGTTATTATGTACTGTGATTTCCTGTTATTGTACATATACTGCAAACATATCGTCCTCAGAAGAGACCAGGTTTCGCAATGACCATATATTGCTGCAGCAAGCTTCCAGTGAAAGTCGACCAAAGACGACAATTTGGATATTCTGATGCATTGACATACATACATATGTACACTGGATGGCTGGTGATTCTGTGAAAGGGATTTTAATTAAAGTAGTGTAGCGAACAGGAAACCAAATAAAGAGCATTCTGCGATATTTTTGCGATAGCACACCCACACACAAAAAACCCACCCATACATCTTTATGGCTGTGGCTTTCAACAGGTCATTAATGCAAATAACAAACAATAAACAATTCTCGAGGCTCTCTGGCTCTCTGGCTGTCGATAGATGTCTGTATACTCAAACTTGAACACACAAACACAACCGGACAGCCCCAATTGGAAAGCCCCAATTGGAGAACCCCTCCCCACCACAAATATATTGTATGAAAACTTCTGCTTGGAAATTTACATTTCATGGTTCTGCCTTTGGCCCGGTCCGAACGATTCTCGGTTCTCGACCCGAGACCCTGCTTCGTTTGTTGGCCATGGCCATGTCTGTGTTGTGGTCCAGCTTCTTTCCTTTTCCATCGCCTGCTTCTGAAGGAAGCAACAATTTTGGCATCCCTTTAAAAACGAGATTTAATGTGTATTTATGTAAATGCAAAAATAATTGCCATTCCTTGGGAGGAGTGAAGGCCTGTTAAACGGCCTGGGCCGAGGGCCAATTTACCTGGTAAAACGCAGGAGAAACATAAAAAATGAATACTCTCAGCAATAGATCGACTGGTTGATACCCAGTAGAGTGGTTGCGGGTAGATACTCATCGCAGCGCAGGATCCAGTATACGTAAAAATCATTTTTATCCAATTAAAATATTGCCCATCAACCATAAGAACATAAAGGAACAAAACGATTGTTCGCCTGTACTTCCAGGCTGGCACTTTATTTATTTTTTTTTTCATTTCAGATGCTCACCTTTGTTCGTGCATTTGAACTTTGAATTACATTTGTATGTGTGTGTGTTTTTATTTTTTGGCGCTTTTCCCCGTGGTTTTTTCTTTCTTTCTGTGTTTCTTTCGGTGTTTTATTGGTGCGTGCTGGTATTCATTAGCATCGAATGTCTAGCCGTCTGACGTTTGAATATAAATTGTCTAATGGGGCCATTGGGCATTGATAATTGTATTTGATGTCACTGGGATGTGGCAGCGGACGGGAACGTGCTCCAATGGTCAATCAGCGAAAGCGGATGGTTGGATACTTGACTTGGTCAAAAAGAACATTACTACAAGTCCATTGCTCAGCAGTCCCCCCACCCAACAAAGTTTTTTTCCAATTGACTTTTCAGCTTTACATCTACCCATCATCTACCCACCAATTAGTAGTCGTGGAATCCACTTCCATTTCTATTTAGAGCTATAGGCATTCAGGATTGAGCGCCAATGGCGGCCTTTGTTTGTCGCTTTCATTGCGTATACGCATTGTGAGCATTGAAATGGCTTTTCGAAGCCGTCATCACACTGAGTGCATGTCATTGTCGGGGGATTTGCTCAACCCAAAAATGCCAGTCAAACAAAATGGTTCACTTGGGGACCGGGTAAGCTCCATTTCATAAATCCAATGGTGGTTTTTACGTATGTACATATGTACATACATATATGTAGTAAACTGTTGGTTTGTGGAGTATATGGAGTATCCATCCAAAAAGATTCTGTTTTATTTTTACGAGCATGTTACATGTTACGACGTGACTGAAATTTGAAATTCTAAGCTAAAAGGATACAAAACTAAAAGTCAAAAGGAAACTAGGGCAAACGACGATAGGAGGGGCCTGACTTCAGACGGTTGCACTCTCAAATACTCTGGCTGCCCAGGGTATACAAGTATTTCGATCAAATGTGCATCGAATTGAAGGTTGCACTTCAACCACAAAGCAACATTATTTTTAATGGGATTCACTTGCATATATTGAAAGTCTGTTCGAAACATAAGCTGTCAGTGCAAAGGCTTCAACAAGTGAGTCAACACAACACACAAACAATGCCAGACAGCCAGTTGTCAATATTTTCCTAGAGATCACAAATATGTCTGCTTCCTTCTTCCTGTGTGAAGACTTCGGCATTGTGCTTCTAGGGTATTTACAGACGGCATTTACTTAGTTTTTGGGCAAAGAATGTTGCTTTTGAACAACAAGTCGTTTGTTTGCCACATAACGAAGCTCACAAAGAGTTGCCATCTTGCCGTCGGGACGGAACTGTGCTGGGAGCGGGTGCTGGCCCGAGGATGCCTGGTAGCCAGGCAACTTGATTTATGTCTGTGTGTTACGAGCACGTGCCCCATGGCATGTCCGTGGAGCGAGACAGAAAGACATGCACCCTACGGCCAACGCACAGCCTCGGGTCTATGCTGGTCTGGGTCCTGGCTTGGCAATGAAGATAAATTGTAAGAGTAAGCGACAAAAGCGGGGAAAATCGCGAAAAGTAAACGATGGCAAATGCTTATTGCGATTTGTGATCAGTTATATTTCACAATTGAATTTCCTTTCCATCAGCGGCAGCTGTTCTGGGATTTTTGCACACTTTCAGGAAGCTCTTTGAGGCTTATTTCAATGATAGAAAGCCTCATTGAGGCTAAGTGAATTAATTTTGTCTATTTCTTGATTAAACACTGTACAAGCGTTAGGGAATTCTGGCCAGAGTTAGACTCAGAGTCAGAGTCAGACTCAGCGTCTAAGCTGTTTACGTCCAATCGGTTTTCTTTAAAGCTTACTGAACGCAGAGATTTTTTGCATCTCGTTCTCAGAAAAACATCTGGCATCTGAAGGAGCGGATGACAGAAAACGGTAATAGAAGAGACAAGAGAAGTTTAGATGTAGTCGTTATCCGTATTCTGTTTATGTCGTTTTTGTGGTTGAATGCCACATCCACGTGTAACAGCTGCTGCCAGGACCAGCAGCAGGCCCAGTACTAAGCACAATGCAACACAGACATTGTTTTCGTCTGAATTCTTTACGGTGTAAACCATATTCAAGTGCTGACAACTCTGATTTGACACAAAAATAATATTTGCCTGACCTACGTCCATTTTAATTACAAAAAAAAGCGAAAGCCCTTCCATTTAAATGTCACCGGCTGTCGAGATATACATATTTACAAACCAAGCCCTGAACACACAGGGGACACAAATGTGTGCAAATACTAGTCAGTTTTCTATTAACAACTAACCCTCATTCGCACATTTGCCGTGCTGGCTCAGTCGGCTTATCGGATATGTAATCGAAATGGAGTGGAGTCTGGCTGCACTTCTAAAGGTTTTCCCCTCCCCATGAATCCCCACAAAGTCTGTCTGGCTCAAAGGAGACCAAACTCAATTACCATTTCCCCCGCCATTCCAATTGGAGTCTTGGAGCATCCGAAAATCAATCATTTGAGTACGAAAAGCTACTTGCTTCATTCATTTCATTTCATTAAATCTGCTCCTATAGCATCACAAAATGCCAAAAATGCCATAAAATTATTGTGGTTTTGGATTCCTGGCAAAATTTTGTGCTTGCACCGGATTTTCTATGTTTACCGAGATAATTTCACCTTAATTACTGCTCTAGGGAACTGCTCTGGCCGCCCAAACTGCTCATATAATTTTGTGACACCGCAGGGCTATTTATTTAATGTCGGTGCCAGTTGCTGTCCGCCAATTAAATGCCAAAGGAATTTCAATTTATTCCGTAACCAACAAAGCGGCACTTTGAAGAGTGCTGTGGACTCCATTAATCACTTGGTGGCTTGAAGGAAGAACTAAGTGTAGTTCGACGTTAGTTCTTCAGCAAATTTCGGTAACGGATGTCAGAAGCAGAAACCACAACGAAATTTAAGGTGGAATGGCCAAACACCAAAGACCAAATGTCAGCTTCGGTGTTCTTCCTCCCCAAATGGAAGCTTATTTTTCAGTGAACTTTGTCCAAAAGTCATTATAAAACTCCAATTAAATTATATCTTGAGCAATTAATTAGGCAAAAAAGTGCGTGCCCGTGTTAAAGTAAACACTCGACCACTTATTGTATGCCCGAAGGATAAATCGACAAAGTTTGGCCACTGCACGTGCGGAAGCTGCTCTGGTAAAACATTTTTAAACAAATATATACAATGTATGTATAAAATTCAATTATAGTGTGAATTTAACACTAAATTCACGCGCCGGGCAGACAGGCAGACAGGCAGAGAGTCAGACGAGCGGCAGCCTGTCAAAATATGCGTGGAACATGTGAACATACATACATATATTAAAGGAGAATTCTGAAAAATATTAAAATTAGAAATACTGTTTGGCTACTAACAAGCCGATGGAAATAAATAAATACTTTAATTGCCACTTGATGGAAACATTAATGGCGCATCATTGAAGATGAGCTTTAAAGTGACTATAATTCAAATGGAACATAAAAGAAAGGGGCAAATTCCGATGCCTTAATGAATGAGTTGGTTCAATTGAAGTGCAAAAATATTTCCGTCCGTCCACCCGTTGCTCTCAGTGCGCACAACTTAATTTGAATCAAGAATTTCAGCAATTTCGGGAAACAAGTGTAAACAAACTTATAAATATATCTCGCCAATTTGCTGTACATGCGAGAATACATGCATATACATACATATACGTAAATATGTTTACAAACAGACCGTCCGAGTAAAATGAATAAAGTTTCATACGAAACAATTGTGGTACGCTCTGATGGAAAACTTTTTATTGTTCGCTTGTTGCACAACATGTTGGGAAAACGACTTGTGATAAGCGTAAATAATCGTAGTAATCGTACTCATTTGAGCACAGTGTAAAGCTTTTTTGTATGTTTATTCTATCCATTTTATTAAAGAGTGAACTCTTTAGACCAAAAGGACGTTGGAGAAGTACATACATAAAATAAAAATAAAATAAATAAAATTAAATAAATAAAAAAACATCGTGCATAGTGCAGTGTGCAGTGTGCATAATTACCAAAAGGTGAGCTAAAAAGTAAAAAAAAAAAAAAGTTTTTCTTTTTTTTAGAGGGCTACGGTTTCCACTGCATAAGTTGGCAATCAATTGAAATTGTCTGGACTTTAATTAAATTTCCTGCAATAGCGGTAGTGGTAGTAACCTGGTGGATTTGGAAGGATATGAATGTGAAAGGAATGTTGTACGCCAGCCACTCACCAGATTCTGCCAACGGAATCGCATTCCTATTTACTATACATATTGCGAGCAGTCCTCAGGTCGGCAAAAGGCAAGCCCAGCTCCGCACTAACGCAACAAGCCACAGCAAAGCGCAAAGCCATTCTCCGCATCGTGGAAAAAAACACTTGAACATAATGAAATACCGCACAAAAAAAGCCAAGCAAGCGTTGAGGTTCGAATCTGGAAATACCCAGCAGATCAGATAATTAAGATTAAGTTTCTCTGGGAAAGTACAATTATTTGTAGCTTTTGTGGCCGGAAAATCTATTGGAAAGCTTCTAGTCGAACGTGGTTAGTGGTTAGAAAAAAAAACATTCTTTGCGTATAAAAATCATAAGACCCTTCCAACAGTTGCCTAGGGTATGAATGTCGCAAAGTGTTGAGCTCACAATAATGTCAACTGTAATAGTGAAGTGGCTTGGGAAACTCTTAGACTAAGGAAAAAGTTGATAGCTCGGATAGTTTCTCGAGTGTCAATGAGTTTCCCTTGACACAGTTCAAAGGACTCGGCATATTTTGCATTTTGTTCATGGTTGTAAAATTTACAGGTGCCTTTGACGAGTACTCGTAGCAATGGCTTTAAATATTTAGCTGGCTTTCCTTAAGTCATTGATGGATATTTAAGCTGTTAAGCTCTCCAGACAGCGTGCTAAATTTTGCATACAATCAATGAACAATATAAATAAAATCAGCAGGGCGAGGAGACTGTGAGCGACAGCAATGAAATGGATTACTCTGTCGTAATGATATGAATGTACGTACATATGCATACATTATACATACATAGACATACATATACATATGTGTATAAGCATTACGCATCATTAACTGTCTGTGTGCTTCAGTAATTGTGTTAGATCGTTGCATTTCATTCCGCCCAATGGAGTCAATTTCGATTAAATTTGCGTCAACCCTTCTGCCAAGTTATGACAAAGGGCAACTAACGCCTGAAGAGAGCTGCCAGCTGGAGATGTTTTGTTTCAAAGGAATGGAAACTGGTCGAACAACCTACCATTTCGATTAATTACAATGTAATAATAAATGGCAGTTCAATTAATTGACCATTGCCATGACATGGCCAGAATGTCGGAAGAGGGACACTGTTCGCATGCCTTGAGTTGGTCTGACATGCAAATTGTTAAACCTTCTTCGGTTCGTCCTTTGTTTTCGTCTATTATTTATTGAGGCTTGCCCGCCTCCCCGTTTGGGTAACGCCTTAAATACCGTTTTCCATGAGTTTACATAATGCAAGGTCATTGGGCAGATGAAAATATAACCGGCCATGCCATGGAATAGTTGGTTTGGATGAACCGCAGTTGTGCAATGAAAATGTCTGAACTTTAAGTAAAGAGAATTGAATTAATCTCGGGTTTGTCCCCCCTCCCACGGGTTGGAAATCTGATGCTGTGACTGTGCACATAAAAGGGAATTTATTTCCAGGAATCAAAAAGCGATTGCGTAAGCTAATACCATAATTGTAATTGGGCTGTTGTATCTGAATCTGATTAATATTTTATGGTGGCTAGCTATTCCCGGATTTTTGACAAAATCAATATTGGTTGTCCCGTCTGCTGAGCTGCTGGTTGCAGGGAAATGTAAATTCGCTGATAGTAGTCAAACACATGTTGCATCGAGCGGAAACCAAATTGCCACTCCCTGTTGAACAACAACATGGAACATGCTAGAATATCGATGAAGAGTAGATATATGTATATAGACATCCATATGATTAATCGGTATCCATTCCTGCGGCAGTGTGTCGCACTTATGGTACAACACGCTCTTTGACATGCGGCGTCTGGTTGTCGCCAAGGAAAACTAAACTAAACCAAGCCAAACCAAACCCTAACCGCAGACCATCAACGTTGAGAGGACTCTATGAACCTTGCTCCGCTCCCCTTAATTTATCACGGAATATATATCACAAGTGTCCATTCATGCCACACCCACGGACTCTGTAAAGCCAATAAGTGTACCGTTTTGTATTCTGGTATATTCTCGTGCAAATAAATTGGATGAGGAGCGAGCGTATCGTATTCTATTATTCACATTAGGAGAGCACTTTAATTTGACTCGGGTTGGCTCGGGTTTTTTTTCAGCTTGAAAAGCAAAGGGAGTCCTGAAACTTTTAAGAAGAAGGTAAATATATACATTAATGGTGCATAAACCCTGCCAGTCGTGATTGCAGCACATAACCAGCAGTAGGTTGACCAAATTACCATAATCCATAATGCCAGACAATTGCCAGTAAAACCAACTGTAGCAGCATTTCAATTACAGTTCTCTGACCCCACGATACAGTTGTTCTCCGACTCGAACCGTGAGCAATCCAGGATTATGCTAATAACCTGCACTCGGCCATTGATGCTTCTTAATGAGGCTGCCGATGACCTCCTCATTCCATAGCATTCAATGTACACTCACAGATTCACTCAGACGGGTTCACTTCGGTTGAATTTTGTGTATCATTTGAGTAGTGTACGTGTACTCGTACTTCGCATGACTGTTGATTTTCCTTTTATTTGCTATTCCAACGTTCTCTGCTGTCGTTAGGGCCAAGAACGTTGGCTATAGTGTCGACTCGGCAACAGTTTCGTTTATGACTTTAACTTACCGGTCTCCGTGAGCCATCAATTTTGATGGAAGCGACACGCAGCCACAGTCAGCTTCTTGGAATTCTTTAGCTGGAGCTGATGCTGGAGCTGAAGCTGGAGCTTGGGACTCATATGCCGGAAAAACTGTCAGCCTGTCATCTTTTCAGTCAACGTCCTTTCATCCAGCAACCAGGGATCGTTATTCCGCATCAATATTCAAAGACTCAGCACAATCTGTCACAGTGTTTGGCCCCAGACTTTCGCCGCGATTTACCCCAACTTTTCCATTAGAAAAGTTAATGCCGAGCATCGAACAAATTTAAAGAAATTCCAATGAGCGATACAAGCTTCTTCTGCGGATACTGCGGCAAGGCATTCACCGCTTTTTGTGGCTGTTATTTTTGGGCGGTTCCTTTGTTTACTTACCACGAATACTTTCGCTGGTTCAGTGCGCCGCTTTCTGGTTCCATACACCTTGGATTCTTGCATACATAATTTTAAAAAAGTTTTAAAATAATCAATAACCTTGTTCATTGGAACATCAAGTGAATGAACGAATAACAATCACATACGGCACTCATTGGCCTCGTTTTAATCTTAGTACTGCGATGGCTAATGAAATTTTTATTTGCGAGGAATATATGGCAATCCAATTTTAGAGCAAAAATCAATGGATCTTTTTTAGCTGGACAAAATCGCTTTGTGACTTTTTCAGTTTGACGTGAAAAATGTGTGACGAAAAAAAAATATGTTTATTCAGTTTATTATTTTATAAATTTTCGATTAATTCATTTACGTTTCTCTACCAACTTTTAATGCATTTTTGTTTTTTCTTCTAAAGCTCTAGTTTCCAGAAATCCAAAAACCATTCTGGCAGTGTTAAATTACATTACGGTGTTTTACTCTATAGAACTTGTATTAAATTGACTTTTTGATATCCGATTTCCAACGATGCTGTCTCCACACTCTGGTGTACCATATGTAAATGTATTTATTTTTTTTATTTTGTTTATTTTTTAGCACGATCTGGTGGCGCCAGTATTTTGAATAATTAAATCTGTCACAGCAGATGCTGGACGCGATACGCGTACTATGAAGTCGCTCGGTTGAAGGGAGGAGGTAAGTCACGGTCTATTTATAATGGTAATGGGGCTCTGGCGGTTGAATTTGCATTGCAAATCAATCTGTTCCTAGCCACGGATGTATTTTAAAAGCGGCTAACAAATTTATGCGCCCGACGCATGCGAGAAATCTTTCGCTGTCCATCATGAAATGGGAAATGGGTTGGTGCTTTGGGTTTTTTTGTTATTGCCGGCGCATTCCATTGGGGAATTCCTGATCAAAATAAACACTCAATATAATATAACAAAGCGCTCACAAAAAATACTCGTAAACTCCTAAACGGATACTCTTAAACACTAGTGGGCGAATAAAAGCTCGTAAAATCACATGGGCAGGGCCATAAAATACCAAAGAGCCCCACACACTCGTACATACATATACTAATTAGCAGCCAGAGTCTGTCAACTAACTAACAAAAGGAGAAACTGCAATTATAGACCAATTAAGAGCATAAACAAGGAGGCAAGGTTTGCCCGAGGACCAGAACAGCTTTTTATACTTCTGGCTGGTTTTACGTTAGGCTCGCTACACAATTTGTGGTTTGAGGTTCTCGTTTATTATTGTATTGTTTTTCCTTTTTGCTGTTGTGGTACATTTCGGAATTGCAATATATATTCCAATCTGCTGCCTGCAAAACTTTGCTCCGGAAATATTTTGCATAATTAATTTTGTACTTAATTAACTGGGATTACCTGCGTGCTGCAGTGACATTTGTGCAATGTCAACATTCATTTAAAAAGAAATTCGAATTACTAGTACCGAGTATGAAAGTTAAAAATACAAATAATAAATTTATATGGAATATATTCGAGCACTATTCATTTAATGCTAAATCAATCAGCAATCAATACTAAACGAGGTCTGTGGTGTCTGCTACGTGCTACGTGCCAAAGAGTATGCATATTGAGTTTCACTTTAATTTCAGATGTCCTTCACATTACCCGCCCCATGAATATTTAAGCAGCACCCGCTCCATGAGTGTAGGGTAGGTGTAGACAGGCAACTTTGCCACACAAACGCCAGCAATATGGTGATAGCCAGTAGACGTAGACGGCATCTATCAAGTGCACACAAAATCCCAGAGCGTAGACAAGGGCTCTGAAGGCCGCCCCTGGTTTGTGGCTGAAAAAGTCCATATTTCTAGCCAAGAGCTGGATAAACACAGCAGCGCCAGATGGAGAGCTCCCTGAACTTTGTCCAATGCCTAGCGAATCCACTTTCTGTCAAACTATTCCCCCCTATTCCCTATCAGTTTCATGCAAGTAAATCAGCCAAAAAAAATGTTTGAAATTTTTTCGAATAAAAAGTTTTTCACGTCCGAACTTTACAAAGCCAACAAAAAACTTTTTGATGCGAACTATTCGTTGCAAAACGTGTAATCCTCTTTGGACCAGAGGCCGGCCAAACGTTGAAATGGAATATTCATTAGGTGTCTTTCATTAGGTTTTCCTCATATACATTATGGTCCGCAATGTTTGGAAAATAGCAAAAGAGTTTGTCTAGCCCAATGCTATTATAAATAAATATATATGTCCATATATGTATATATATGCATGTAAATTTGCACACATAAAATGTTTAATATTTTAACGTAAATAAATTTAATTTCTGGATAATTTTCCCCTTGGTTGGTTGTATTATGTGTAGCCTCTCAGTTTTGAGTTATCGCTCGCTCACACAACCCACACAACCATTCCGCAACATATTTTATTTTAACTATCAAATATCGGGCCCCAAACCATTTTATATAATAGAGACATATGATTTATTTATACACATTTTATAAATTGGATTAAGTAGCGTAAAACTCAATCAGACCAATTTTTATTACAACTTAATTTGATTAAATGATGATAAGCAAACCACGATACAATGAAATAATATGTTATTATGATATTGTAGTGCGTGCAACCCACTGCCACCCTGTTTTCGAAGAGACATTTCGACCAATTCTACCCTACATACATTGATGATTATTTTTGAATATTTTAACGGCTCTCGAAATTTGCATTGAGAATGAGGTGGAGCAACAAGTTATTTGGATATTACCAGGATATTAAAATTGAATTAAAAACTCGATAATTCGATAATTCCCCCATGCATGCGAATCAGGTATTGGCATAACTATTGCGAATACGTATAAAATAAATATCATGGTTTAGTTAGTTAATTTTTTTAATAGTTTTCAATAGTCGGAGCAATGGAGATATAATTTGTACAAGTTGTCATGGCACAGAGAGTCCTTTCAATAGTTAGCCACAAAAGTGTTTGGATCAATCACGGTGGCCACCTCCCAGGGGTGGACGATAGACCGTCCTGGAATGCGATTGTAAGCAGCTGCAAAGAAGGATGGCAATCAGTTTTATATGCTCTAAATGGATAAGACAGTTTACGCCCACATACCAATTATCTTCTGGATGGCTGTCTGCGCATCCAGCAGCTGTGTGGCAGGTGCTGGGGCAGCAGTGGCAAGGATCAGGCAGACGGCGGCAAATGCCAGGGCAACCATTGCGAATTTCGACATACTTGTGGTTTTGGTTTTTGTTTTGGGTTGGGGTTAAGCTTGGATGCTCTTTCTTGAGTGCTGCTTGGAATCTATTTGGTTCTGCACGAGCCACAGCTGCTATTTATACTCGTCTTCAAGTGGAAGACAACGACAACAGCAAAGAGCGGGATGAATGAAAGCCTCTCCGCCTAGATAGGGGGAGAGGCACATAGATAATAAGAGAGAAAGAGTGAGAGCTTCTTCTAAAGGCAGCTGTTTATAAATTAAATTTCTTGTTTTGGTTTTCGATTCGGTTTCAGTCAAACCGACTAATTTCTTGTGGCGTCTGAATATCTGACACTCGTATACTTAATCCGAGGAATGTCCGCACTGGAAGCGGGTAAACAAGTTTCGCAAAAGAAGAAACGATTCGAATTTGGGGAATTCTAAGAGCCACTCGTAGGAAAGCCGAACAATGCACAGCAAATGTGGCAAAAATAAAAAGCGACAAATAAATAATATTAGATACCGCTTAGATGTCAAAAAGTTCTGAATCAGGTGCTGCCACCTCTGTCCATCTGTCTTCCAATGCTTAAACAACTTTAGGCGGTAAAACAGATCTATGCATACATGAACTAAATATTTGCAGCAGTAGTTCTAGTTAATTGTACGAGTAAAATCAGATCAGTCCGTCACTATATACTCTCCTTTGCTGCATTTCATTATCAACATTCGAGGGTAGTTGTCCCCGCCGATTGCCAGGCATTCACTAGTCGTTACCACTTTCAAGTTGTGTCCAAATGTTTTCATATATTTGCCATTTGGTACATATGAAGATGTTTTGCATACGATTTGTTTTTCGAGTATCGGCGACAGTTCATTGTACGACTGCCCTGTTCTATAGACATTCTGGGCATTTCCCATCGTCACCATATCAGCGATACCGGCCAGATGAAAGAGCTTTGGGGAGGAATCGTTTGATTATTTGTCGGCTTTTGTTTTACTGATTTATAAACAAACCGGTTGGCTTAATTTTGCCGCTCCGGTCAGGCGCCAAAAGAAAGTAAAATTTGTGGTATGTATGTATGATTCTATTTGTTCCATAAATTACGTCAGCTGAAGAATTTCTTTCGGTGCGGCACATTAAATTCAAGCAAAAATTTATGCAAAATTCTTGAGACCCTTTTGGGACTATGTCATCCGGCTGCGTGTGTACAAAAGATGATTGGAATTTCCACTTACTCAAGGATGTGCCTTTCATGTTATTCAATCAACAATATCATCCTGTGTGTGTGTGTGTGCGTGACTTGTAATGCTAATGCAGAGATGTGCCTCATTGACACATTTGTCAGCAAACAGTCGCGAGCAGATGGTGATACACTTATAAGTACCTGAGGAAGACACCCAGGCTTCAGACCCCCAACTCCCCATAGGGATTGAGCCTGTGCACATGGCAATCGTTTGGGGAAATAATAATCATGTGTGTGTGTGTGTGTGTGGGTTGGTAATGAGCCAAGCGCTAAGCTTCTTATCGCAATCTTTATGGCCCTGTCATTTGCCGCCAATAATTGTAATCTATGACCCCGTCCTGTCCTGTTTGGCCCAGAGCTAGAGAGCTAGCAATTTCATATTAATAATGAACTCCCTCATGGAGCTCTGCACCCATTTCGTATTTGTATATTTTTATCAGCATTGCTACTCGTTTATTTTGGGCCGTGTGCAAATTTGTTACACTCATAGATATGTACGAGTATATGTATGTGGATACTCTATGGTATTTATGGATATAAATTGGCTTTTGGGCTTTAAAGATCAGAAAAACGAAACAAAGCGCAACACACTGTGGAGGCGGCTGCTGAGTGGCAGCTAAGCATAAACATGTTACCCCAGGGCTTTTTTAAATTATATGATTATAAATTATTATTTGCTGCCATAGCCTAGTACATATATGTATATGTATGTACATATATAAATGGGCAAGAAGTTTGCAGTGCACAAGATGAAACGGATGGCATATAGATTCTTAATTGTAATGGAGGGGATGTTGTTTTTCTCTTAGACTAAACTTTATATATTATGTTCAGATATTATGAAAAACTTCTCACAGGCTTGACTTCTTCAAAGAAGAAAAGTCTTTTAAGATCATTGAAGACCTATTTAAGTAACCGCAACTTTAATTAGCTCGAAGCCTTCCACTCGAGGCTCTGCAAGGATATTTATTAGAATTTTTGACCCATATAACCCGTTTCATGAATTTTATTTACTTAGTCAGTTACTCCTGCGTATGCGTAATGTGCGGCTAAAGCATTAAGTCGCATTAATTATCATAAGCATTACCATTACCACATACATACATACTCGTAATATCCGCATCAAGATTCTCAAATTAAATGCGACAAATTTAACGAATGGCCCATTATGGCACATGTACGAGTAAAAGCACACACAGTCTGTAGCAAAAGCATGTTCACGGTATGATACGATGCTATGATAATGATAATGAGGCCTAATTAAGAGCTACGTTCAGGCTTTATGATTATTATTTTTAATTAATTAACAATATTATTAATGTTGTATGTCTTTTGTTCACAGTTTGTGGTCCATTTATTTGAGTAGCCAGTTGTGACTATACAAAAAATCGATTGCCCAGTGGAAGCATTGAACTGTTTTTGTTACTTTCTAATATGCTGCAGGAGAGAGAAGAAGCTCACCCAAAGGGATGCTTCATCATCATATTTTGGGACGCGCACAACACATAAAAACTCACATCAAGAGCACGTGTCGAATCAGCAGTGTCTGTAAATTAGATTTATTACCTTGGCTGTGGCGTTCATAGCATCGTTTTGATGGATAAGACTTAGCCCGTCACGTGGTAAATCATATTATGCGAAGCTAATTTCCATAGCTGGTAAAGTTCCAGTAGCTACAACGATTTTTCTTTGGAGTGCGGGAAAACTTCTTAATACTCAGTATAACAAAATCAAAGCCGCTAAGTTGAACAAAATCCTTCACCTTTAAGTTCATGGCCGAACAAAACTTGCTAAAAGCTTGACTAACTGAAAGATAATATTTTGACCAAGCTGATAGGGATCTTAAATGTGGAATGCCTGGGCGAGCAATTTGCGGGGGAGCAGAGAAGACAGCACAGAGCCTGCCAAAACCCCCAAAGTCACAGATTTTCCCTTCTTTATAATTTTTGTTGAAAAGTATTTCAGCCGCGTATTGTAGGAACCATGGAAGCAACAGAGCCCAAAAGGATTTTTAAAGTTGTGGATGCTGCAAAATTAACTACGAACATCAGTGTGTGCATCAAGTAACCTTTAATGCGGAATCTTGCTTACTGAATTTATTTACTATGAATTATCAAGATTAGCACTCTGTACTCGAATTGTGCATATTAAGTTTCGCTACGTACATATGTATTACATAACATGTTAAATAGGCAGCAATTTTAGATTCCATTTCATGCATAATTTAATTAACTGAACTTCTATCAAGGAATTAATTGTGTGGAAGTTCAAGCTCAAACAGCGTTAATTTCGCCAAGAACAAAGTGAAACTTAATTTCGCCCACAGCTCCTGACTCCTAGCGGATGCTTTTACGAGTAAAAGTACTTGTAAAAATAGATGGTGGTTCGAGTTGAGAGCATCATCCACTGCTGAGGAATTTTGTCGGATGTGGATGTGGTTGCAAAAAAGGGGGCTCTGAGAGTCTGGTGACGTTTAAGCCTTCAACAGGCAGCATACAGCATATGGTGGCTGTTTGTCTTTGGGATGGCGGCAATTGTGCATAATTAATCATGTCCTGAAGCCGCTGGGAGTTGGATGCGCATGTCAGTTAACATGGCCGTGCTTTTTATCACTGCCAGTTCCAACGTAAATGCTATGTTTATCTTGTTATTTATACCAAGACGCAATCGCCATCGGATGTTGTGTGTTTTTTTTTTGTGCCATAAGCGGGTTTGGTCCTTTGAAGCTAAACCATCGTCACCGTTGTCAGGAGAATGGGCCCAAGCCTGCCACAGTTACCATCGCAGCCACGGCGAAAACAAAGAGCAAAGAGCAACATGAACAGCACTAACATCAAGGAGCCGTGTCGAGTCGAGTCGAAACGATGATGTTTATGTGAAGCAGGAACCTCTGCACGTTTCACTGCGATAATTGTTGACGTAAATCAGGCACAAGAGGAAAATAAATGAGGAGGATGAGGACACAAGCACATACATTACACGTGTGAGAGTGACAGGACTTTTTATCGTTGAAGGCGCCCGAATCAGTAGGTGCCAGTCTGAATATCGGGCACATTTCTTGTCAACATTTCTCTCTTGGCGACCGCATCACAAATTGAAATAAATATTCAACTCCGTTGCCGGCCGGCAGAAAGGAGAGGAATGTTACTCAATGTGAATGGGAATGGCGATGGGGAGGGGTCACTTTATTCAATTGTGTCTGGTGAGCGGAACACAGGGAAAACTTGTCCTGGGAAATATTTACATTTTCGTATTGTAAAAGCCATTTTGGGGGCTTAGCAATTGGAAATCTTAAAAGCCATACTAAGTGCCCACAAACACACATTTTTTTCGGTGCGGGGAAATTGTGCGGTAAAAAGCAGTATTGTTGTTGTTTTTATTGGCAAAGTACGAGTGAACACATTTCTCAAATTAATGTGCACCACAAAAAAAAAGAAAAGAACATTATGCAAATCACGTTTCTGTTTTTTGTTTTTATTTTTGTGTTGTTGCGCATCTACATCTACGTGTTGAAAAGTCAAAGGGCCACGGTTTTGTTTCAACACAAGATGTGTTTTTTTTTTGTGTGGCATGGCCCTGGGGTGAACGTGTTCTTTATTCCGTTTTATGGCCAACACCCGCTCGAAAATGGAATTTGAAAGCAACATCCGTTAGAATTAGGCTGATTACATTTAATTGCGATAAAATGCAGGGCATCCATAAATATTCAGGTCACACCAAAACTTTCTTAAATTTATTCCCCTGGAACGCATTCACATGAGTGTCGTGTCTTTCATTCGCTTTCAAATAATTCCATTTTCGCGCGCAGCTCTAGCGATACTCTTCAGTCGATAGTATGCGTCGTTAGCATCGATAGCCATGCTTTCGCTGTGTATACTTTTTCAATATGGCTGCGAGAAACGCTCTCAACATGGGTATTATCGAATTGATGTAATGTTTGTAATTTCAGACTCCAATTAATGACTCAGGATCTGTTTTAAAGATATTAATGAAATTTTGCAGCTTACGGGTACCAATATAAGGTTACGGGACAGGGATACACTATATACAGAAAACAAGTCAAATGCATGAAAGGTAAAAAACATGTCAATCTAAAAAAATTCCATATTAAAGTTTCAAGCAGCTTGGGACAACAAATTGAACATTAATCAAAGGAAATAAGGTATACAAATGTCCATACGCATAGCAGACACTGGTTGCCCAGAGGTTTTTGAGGTCACTCGACAAAACAAATCAAGTTATTTTTCCAAATATTAAGACACATTTCAAATTGACCGCCAAACTCAATTTAGCGCACCAAAAATACTGACATTTTTTGCTCTCAATTCGTGGAGAGTTTGCAAAACTCGCTCTCAATTCGTGGAGAGTGATCTCTTTTCAGTGGAGAATAGAGTGTTTTTGTGGAGACTTTCCCCTCATATTCGTGGTGTGGCAGCATGTTGCTGAAATTTTTCCCATACAAAATCAAATGTATCTTACGGGAACGCGTATGGAATAAAGATTCATTGTTGCGTCATTCCATACACGTTCCCGTATGATACATTTGATTTGTATGGGAAAAATTTCAGCAACATGGGGAAATGAAGTAGCAGCATTGTTGTGCAACTTTGGCACGGAATGAGCAACAATCTGCATACCTTGGGAAAATGGATATTATGGACTTGAGATATTGTTTGAATTTTCAGGCTCCAATTAATGCAAAAACTACTCAGTCTCTGTTCTAAAGATTTTAACAAATTTTTGCAGCTCACGACTACCAATAATAGGTATCAGAACCGGGATAAATGTATTTATAACACACAAACATGTGCATTAATATGTAAAAAACATGTCAATCTAGGATAAAATCATAAATAATGTTTCAATGGAGCTTGGAACAAAACATTTAACACCAATTAAAAGAAATAAGGTATACAAAAGTACATACGCATAGAAGATACTTGGTTGACCAGCCACACTGACGTCACATTTAGTCAACATTTTCGTTTTATGCTTTGGCCGTTTTTTTTTGAACCCTATTATCTAAACAATCCCATTAAAAATAGTTCTGAAAACTAACCAATCCCAAACAAAATTCATTGAGGAATTGGATAAAATTATTTTTTTAGGGCTGAGTGGGTCAACTATCTAGTAATATTAAACTGAATATCAAAATTGACGAATTTCATATCACAAAATATCACGAGTCTGCCAGCGCCACAAAACGATGACACATTAGTTTTATGCTGTTTTTGTTTTAACCTTAATATGTAAATAATCCAATAAAAAGGACTTCTAAAAACTAACCAATCCTAAACAAAATTCATTGAGAAATTGGATAAAATTATTTGTTTAGGGCTGAGAGTCCCAGCTAGCTAGTAATATTAAACGGAATAGCAAAATCGAGGAATATCAACGTTGAATGTTTTGAAAAAACAATCGATACTATCGTAATAGTATCGGGCTCAAATAATTATTAAAAAACCATTGAAACCTTTTAGGAACTTGTCCATTGTAAAAATTAGATGCCATCTGTCGATTTGTTTACAAATTTGTCTTCGTATTTTATAGCAGCCAATCCAAACATATCAAAAGCGCAACGACTGCAGCTCAATACTATCATGATAGTCGCAAAACCGTCGATAGTAGAGACTAGCAATAAAATATCGATACTATCGATAGTGCCCTCGATGGTTTGACACCTCTATGTTACTGAAATTGTTGTTAAACAAATTAAACAATTAACAAAGAAATACAGTGAAAAAAGCCAGTGCGCGTCAATATAAAGACACTACCAAAGTGCGCGTTGGAAAATCTATAAACGAAAACCAGAAATAGTTCGACAAAGACCGCCGGTAGGCCGCGCCAAAAAAGCAGAAAAAACCTCGGGGTATACGTACAAACTCAAACACGCGCAGAAAAAATGGAAGCAGACATTGCGCCTGTGGTAACCGCCAATGGCACTGAAGAGATTAGCACGCAGAGTGTAGCGCCACAAGAGTATCAGGAACTGCACCCACATAACGAACAGCAGCAGAACAAGCCGATAGAAGCCTCTGCAGCAGTAGTGGGCGAGATTATGGATTACCTGGAAGAGGTAGTTTAATCCAAAGCCCAAGCCACAAAACCTCTTTTTCATCACAAGGTTTCATTTTAGGGAGACGCCACCGCTGGTACAGCCGGTCATGCAACAGCGACAGAGGAGGGTGCCACACCAGAGACGGCAACAGAAAATGTTGCTGAGCCAGAGCAATTGGGGGAGGCAGAATTTTTGGACGATGAAATGCCCGACGTGGATGTGCATAAGCTCATTGAGGAGGTGGACAACGCCAACACATCTCCCACAGAGCCGAGCATCGATGCGGGCGCAGGAAACGACGTCGACGATGCAGCCGACGTTGGTGCGCAAGAAGATGTCGCTGCAGTGGACGAGGCGGATGTTGCCGGTGGTGGTGCCGCTGAAGACAATTTTGAGACAGCATCCGAGGAGGAAGCTGAACTAATCACCGGTGACGAGCCCAACGAGCAGGCCGAGGGCACTGAGCCTGTGCCCGCTGTCAGGGAGCGCAAGAAGGAGGAGGAAGTTGACGAGAACCAGTGCCGTGTCTGCACCAGCAAGGAAGATCTAGTCACACTCTTCAAAAAGACAGACGACGCCACACCTGCCGACATGCTGGTGGACCTCTGTCCCAACTTGTCCATTGCCGTCAAGGATTTCATGCCGCAGTTTATTTGTAAGACGTGCTTGAACAGTCTCACCATTGCCATACAGTTCCGGAAGCAGCTGGAAACAACAGAACGAGATCTACGCAAGCGCCTGTCGCGCAGCAAGAACAAGGTGCGTCGTCCCCGAGGGTATGTGGTCATTGACGCCCCCGTTTCCGACTCGGCCAGCGACGATGATGAGGACGACGATGTGGAGTTCAAGGTCTCGGACGTGGCGGGCTCCACCAGTGCAGAGAGCGACTCGGCCGATTCGGACATCAGCGAGAGACGTAAACGTCCGATGGGACGCGGGCGTGGACGCAAGAAGGCCACAAAACGCGGCAGTGAGGACAACGATGAAGAATCGGTCACTGTCCCCAAGAAGAGGGCACATGGCTCACCCTCGATGACCGGTCCCTTTGAGTGCAATCAATGCGACCTGACCTTCTCGCGCAAGCAGTCGTACGTGCTGCACCGCAAGTCGCACGACCCCCGCAGTGTTTTCACCTGCGAGATTTGCGAGAAGACGTTCAAAGTGCAATGGGCCTACAAGACCCACATGGAACGGCACGCCCAGGAGCGTGCCCACTTCCGTTGCGAACTCTGTACGCAGGTCTTCAAGCTGCGGGCCGAGCTCAAGCGTCATATGGCCGTGCGTCACGACGAGCATGGCTTCATCTATGAATGCAAGCGATGCCAGCGCACCTTCCTCACTCAGCAGCGCCTGCAACGCCATCAGAGCACCAGCTGCCTGCGTCATGGCGAGGAGCGGAGCAGCCACAACAACAAGCGCAGGTCCACGGAGGGACAGCCCCAGGGCAGGGATCTCTTCAAGTCGGTGGCCCCGCTCACCACCACCTACTGGAGCGACAGCTTCTCGGACTAAACGGTGTGCCCCAGTGCCGGGCAGAGCTCGCGCTTGGATATTTCGGACATGTGGATTTATGTTTCTATGAAAAGATTTTAAGTTTATTTAGCTTTAAGATGAAATTAGTGCAAACAAATACAGCTGCAAATGTGTGTAATGAATGCGAATGGAAAGTACTGACATATACTTGAGCATGTGTGTATTCTCTGCTCCTAAGCTGCCATTTAAGGGTCATTAAAATGGAGAATAGAATAGAAATGATTTTACCCATAAATTTACAAAATTAAACCCAAGAAGTCACCAAATGAAAGGCTCAAATTGGGTCAAGAAGACCCTTCAGAGCACTGAAACAATACGGAGCATTATTATGTAATGTGCAACACAAAACTGTCTACTTCAAAAGCCCCTAGACTGAGGGCCAGAACGTGCTGCAAAATTGCAGCATTTATTGGTAGTCTGCACTCACTTCAGCTCCAGTGCGCTCAAACCAGTGCACGCAAGCATAATTCAGCTGAAGCTAATGTTTATAGTATGGCAGGCTGGTTGGTTGCCGCTAACAATGAGTATCTAACTGCTGGGATTACGTCTGTCAGCCGCCTCACCACACCCCTGCTGCTGCACTGCGAGTGGCATAAATGCTGCCACGGGCAAATAGCAACCGCCACAACAAGCAAACTTGACTGTAGCCACACTCAGATATTAAGTTGTTTTTCCTTCTTGTTTGTGGTAAGAGCTCAGTCACACAGAATCTGGATTGTTTTTTTAGCAGAAGTTGCGAACGCGCTTAAATGGAGATGGAGTGGGACTGGTTCAACACATGTATTTATTTTTACGATTATGTACAAAAGCAGGTCATTAGGGAAAGCCAGAAAGGGAGTCCAATCCAAGTACAAATCGTGCTAATGCCAAGAAGAACTGTGGTCTCTGCTGCTCCTTATGCTGCTGCTGTTACTGCTGGTGTCGTTTCTGTTGGTGCCTTTGCTTCTGCTCGTTCACATCTCTGGGGTTCATTAGAAGTGATGGTAGGAGTGGAGGGAGTGGATGGAGTGGTAGCTGGGCAGGTGATACGACACCGGGTGATGGGCGATGAGCGGGGCGTGCGAGATGAGCGGTGCATGCGAGATGAGCGGTGCATGCGAAATTAATGGTGCGTGGTGTACAAGAGTCGGTGCGGCTACGTAATGCGCGGATGTCACCAATGGGGCGTGGTAGCCCAGACCGAGCGACAGGCCGCGCTTCGCCTTGACAGAGCCCTCCTCTTGTTGCTGTTCTTCGGCCAGAGGTGCGGGCGCGGCCAAGATGCAGCTGGCGCAGGCTATTAGCAAAATTAAGAGCTTTGCGATGTTTTTCCAAGAATTTTTCATTAACAAATACCAAGAATGAAAATGGATGGAAATTCCAGCAAGTTTGTAAAGAAAACCAATTTCATTACTTACAGTGAAATTCATGATTAATGACTGACTCGCAAAGGGTACGGACGCTGGACACTAGACACTCGAAACTGCGGCACCGATTCGACGGGGTTCTCTCTAAAAATTCAACTAACATCGATGACAGTCAGAACGTCTGTATTTATACGATTTTCCGATGTGCGTAGACGCATGGAAACTCACTCAAAACTAAACCAAATGCACTCATTAGGAAGAAACTATTTGGGCCCAAAAATAAAAATCAAATAAAACATTGACCAGAAAAATACATATCATGCCCACATCGATCCAAAATCGCACAAACAAGTTGCAGCAGCAGCGGCAGCAGTCTTTGCCACACAACCAGTGTGTGTGTGTGTGCATAGTATCTGTGTGAATGCGTTTGTACGAGTATCCGACAGAACGCCAGAGCGACTGTCTGACAGCATACGCAGTTTTTTGTTTGGTTTTGTTTTGTTTAATTCAGCAAATTATTTGGAGTAACCACACGCTCAAAGTCACTCACTCACGAGTGTCAATGGTGACGGAGACCCATAGATTATCGGCAGCTATAATGGATAATCGGCATTACGTTCTTCTTAATAATTGCGTCAATTAAATGCCAAGAGCATTGGTGACGTTCATCTGAATCTCAATTATCAGACGGGCCATCAACAAATTGAATTTAATCCTCTGATGTGATTATCACAGTCCCTGATTGACAGTTTCACTCTCGCCCAGACTGACATTTAAATAACATCACAAAGCAAGCTAAGTAAGTAGAAAAAATGCACAGAGAATACAAATTCCGGTTCGTTTAACTTGGCTAATTGGAAATGGGACTCTAGCTTTACTGCTAAATGGCTTCTGATAAGTTGACTTTCATCGCACGGTGATAAACGAGTCTCGTTGTGTGTACTGATGTACATACATAAGTATCTCTGTATACTTATTAACAGCTAACAACTAACAGCGTTTAAGTGATAGCTATGCTCTTTAAGAGCCAAGGTAATACGAGTACTTGTGCCTGTTTAATGGACAACATGTGCATATAGGGGATCAGGAGAATCAGATAATTGGCCCAGCGGGTCAGATGACCCATTTGCAATCAAAAAAATGGGGATAACAAACGCCCACTTAATACACAATCAACCACAGACCGGCGTTAATTAACGACTTAGGGAAACGGTAAAAGCAGAAAAAAAAAAAACAACATCCTGGAGCTGCTTTTGGTGCTTGAGTACTGTTGATTTTCTGTTGATGGCGCCATTTTGTTTTGCTCTGTGTGTGTGTGTGTGGGTGAATTTCCGTGCCACCTGTTAGTTTTCTATGTAATTTTCCAGATGCACCCCAGTTACGGCCATCATCCGGCCGGCTGTGATGAAAAACAATCTAACGAAAGGCGAAGGTCACAGTAGCCAACAAGATTATTTTTTTGCAAGGAAATCTGAAATTATAGGAACTGTTCTCAGAGAAACCTGGCAGGATTTGTCACCGGAAGACGTAATAAGGATGCTCGTTAGAGTGTGTTAGAATAAAGTCTCTGACTACATGGGATGAGCAGCTCTTGCCTTGAAGCACGAATGACATGCGTTCTCGTATTCAGGTCATAAAGATTTTTCTGTTGAAATGTTGCGTATTTATAGCGTCTGTGAATCTGCAAGAAGCAACAAACTAAACATAATTGAATTGGATGCTCGTTGAACGTCCTTGCTTGATGGCCGTTTTCATTTTGATGGAATATCCAATCGTTAAGAATAATTACCCGCCACAGATGTAGTCGTAAGTTGAGGCTTAAAATGTTGACAAAATCGAAAGGCCAATCCATCAGCATCAAATCGCTGACAAGCAACAAATGACAGTCCCAGCCCCAGCCGCAGCCCCAGCCCCAGCCCCACTCAGCATACGGCATACGGCTCAACTAATTCAAAAATTATGCATACCTGATGAGGCAATACTGTCGACTGGCATGGACAGGCAGGGGGTGGAACAGCGTGGTGTGGTGGTCGGAGATTGCGAAACAGCATTGCAGCGAACAGGATTCGATTCAGATTCGATTTTGGGGCCATTAGCCAAATGCAACACCTTCGACGACGTGTGGACATGTCGACTTTGATTTGCACCACTCACACAGCACAGCACAGCACAGCCGAGTGTCAAATGCTAACCGTCAAATAAGTACCACTTATTATGGCTCATAGTATTGGTTGCCCATTGGTTGGCATGGTTTGCCTGTTGTTGCCAATTAATTTCGTGGCTACGCCCAGGCAGTGCTTGATTCCAGACCAGACAGTTGCAATGCATTCGTATACTCGTGCCATTAATTATGCTGCACAGTTGCAGTGGTCATTCTTGTTCGTGGTGGCACGTTGTGAACGGGAAAATGGCAGGGCAGGCAGGATGGTACAGGTGGAAAGTCAATAAATATTGTTGAATATGAATGTGCGTTGGATGTGCGTGGGATCTGCGTGGGATGTGTGGGATTTCCTTTGTGTGAAACCCGATCCATTGGTACATATAGCGCCTTATTGTATATGCACTGTATGAGTGTTTACCTTTGAATGGATTTTCACAGGAACAGGCTTTGGTTGTCAATTCGCTTGCCCAGGCCAACATAATCGGGCTTTATTTGGACTAATTGGGACCATGTAATGTGATTTTTGCCCACTTAAGTTGTGATTCAACTGGAATAAAAATGCACGTCAATTGGTTGTTTTCAGCACTCGCTTTGTGTTACCAAAAGGTAACGGGACCCATTGATTACAGCCACATCAAAATGCAAATAACGAGCAACATGCCGCAGTCGCATCTGCAGCAATCGGCGCCGTTCAATGCCACCATACTCAAGGACTTTAAGATAACCAGTAGCGAAATGGAGGATTTCGTGAAGCTGATGTTCGACTTCCAGCGAAAGAACCAGTCGATGCAGAACGACGAATGCCAGGGTTATTGCCAGGGTGAAATCTACAACTGGCTGAGGGCCTACAACAGCATTCATGGCTATGTCTCCCTAATGGTAAGTACTGACCCCCCACCCTCCCCAAACATCCTCACAGCAACAAGACTAATGATCAACCATAAAATAAAATGAATGCTAAAGGGTTGCGACAAGGCTGGAGGCTAGCGTCAAGGAAATTCAAGAAAGGAAAAATTGTACAAAAAGCTGAGAAAATTACTTCACTCCGACTGTCTATCCGTCAGCTTTGCTTTTGATGAATCTTTGCGGCTCTGGCACCTTTGAACTTTTGCCGAGCCCATGAAACTGTTATCTCTTTTGTTGTGCTGCTCGGATGAATAAGAGTAATACGTTTATCACGATTCACAAATCATTGCCATTCAGTGTGTCAGTCCGTCATTCTCTCAGTCTTTTATTTCTGCTTTAGGTCTCTCCTTTGAATGGATGTGAATTACGCTTTGATGTGGTTTAGAAGTAAATGAGCTTAAAATACATATATATACGAAATATTCAGCCATAGCCAAATTATGGAATGTATGTGGAAAGTGGGGAATTTGGCAAGCATTAATTACACATTTATCTCATACGAATAAACTCTAGCAACACTATTTAATGAGTTTCATTAAATATTTTTATTGAGTAAAAAGTTAGTGAAAAGCTTTTCATACATGTGTATGTATGTACAACTGTGTGCATCATGGCAAGAATTAACAGAGAAAAACCTCGACAAGGAACCACATAATGAGTTTAAAATTATTTTCGGAGTTAGTGAAATTTATTTTAGGGTTTTCTGGTTTAAATTGTGGCAAGGATTAATATATTTTTTCATACGAATTCTGTTTGGGATAATGGAAAAAGCTTATAGAAAATATTAAAGCTTAATCTCCCAACAGCAATTCAATGAAAAACATAAAATTTTCACAGCAAAGGCAAAAGGAAAATTCGAAGGACATTTGAATAATGAATAATATATTCCATCTTGCTGGGCAGTTGAGTGCGGTATGTGGCAGCGGCAGAGGCGGAAAGCCAGAAAGCCAGAAAGAAAAGATTGTATGGAGATTGGGCGATGTGGCAGAAGTGAGTGAGTGACGAGTGAGGAAAGAAAGCGTATAGGGCTGATAACATATTCCTCCCCCATTGTCATGAATTACTCATCCCCTGGTTGGTTTTGTTTTTGATTTTTGTTTTTGTTCTCCCCTTTGTTGTTACCCCAACCACACATAGATTTGCATTTTCGGAACGATAGCAAACATATTGAACATAATGGTGTTGACCAGAAAGGAAATGGCCAAGGCGCCAATCAACAACATACTGAAGTGGTTGGCCGTCGCTGATATGTTTGTGATGCTCGAGTATATACCCTATACATCCTACCAGTATATCTACATGGAGCCGGGTAAGCGTGGTTTCCCCCAGCCCAGCCCATCGCTTGCTGCTGTCTTAATGAACCATTGTTTGCAGGTGAAAAGGATTTGAGCTATGGTTGGGCCGTCTATCTGCTGGTGCACATGCACTTCACTCAGATCCTACACACAATTTCCATTGGCCTCACCGTGACATTGGCCGTATGGCGCTACGTGGCAATCAGGTGAGTGGACGAGCACTGACTCGGCAATTGTTTCTCTGCTGAAACGTGCGCTACGCTTTCGGCTACTATCATTCATTCTGATAAATTCTTTTCGAGCAGAATCATCCGTCTCATCTAACCCACATCGACCCCGACCCCGATATCGAAATCCTTTTCCATATCCATATCGGGATCTGAATAGACATAGACATCTGTCTGATTTGATTAACATGGCGGCATTGTGTCTGTTTCTGTTCTTCTTCCCGTCTTTTGTTTATAGCCAAATGTTACCATCTATCTTTCACAGACATCCAAACGGGAGCTGTGCCAATTTTCTGCTCGCACATTCCAGGGAGGCCATACTCTTTCCGTTCATCATTTCGCCGATTCTCTGCTTGCCCACGTACTTTGTGTTTCAGGTGCGCGAAACGCACGATGTGGACACTGTCGATCACGAGGCCCTCTATCATGTGTACTTTGATGCGGATTCTGTGCTGTACAGGTGGGTGCGGCTGTGCAGATCAACCATGTTCAGCCCGTTATATTCTCTCCCATATACTCTGACAGGTTCAATTTCTGGATACATTCCGTGATTATCAAGCTGTTGCCGTGCATCGCCCTGACCGTCATCAGTGTGGTTCTAATGAATGTCCTGTGCGAGGCGTCGCGTCGCCGCCTAAAACTGAAGGACTACGCAATTGACAACAAATACGCCGTTCAGCTCAGCCTCAATGACAGCAAGTCCAAGAGGTGGGTACAGTGGTTCCGTTTTTAATGCTGCCACAAGCTAACCTTTTGTTTAGGCCACCGCGCTGCGATCGCCGCAACGATCGCACCACGCTTCTTTTGGTGGGCGTGCTGGTACTCTTTCTGGTCACCGAATTTCCCCAGGGGCTGCTGGGTCTGCTGTCCGGGATGATGGAGAAGTGCTTCTTCGCCCACTGCTATCCGCCCTTTGGGGAGCTGATGGATCTCCTGGCCCTGATCAATGCTGCAGTGGGTTTCGTGCTCTATGGTCTGATGTCGAAACAGTTCCGCACCACCTTCCGATCACTGTTCTTCAAGCGGCACATTGGCAGCACTGAGTTGAGCCGATTGACTCGCGTCACCACCACATGCGTCTAAGGAGGATCTGGAACTGGAGCAGGGTAGGAGAAGGTCCGCCTGGATATGGCATCTCAAAGATGCTCTTGGGCTTCTCTCCATTGGAATTTCTAAACTATAAACTTTTTAAAAGTGGTATAAGCTGTGAGCTGAAAATTGATAAGCGTTTTGAACGGCTAACCGATTGATTGATTGGCTGTTTGAGCAAGTGCCAGTTCCCTTCCCACTTAGTTGCTGATAAAAGAAATTGGATTTAAGATTAAATACTAAAGGAATATATATATATCTATGTGTATCCATTATCCATTTGATGTTCCAGATTGATGTGCGTTTTGATAGGCTAAGCAACATCCCAATCCCAGTACGTAGTTTTTAACATATAAGAAATTCAACACACACTACAGTCTATTCCAGTGTTTCGTATACTATAAGTCTAAGAGATTTGCATACGTATGTGTATCCAAATCTGTTTGTGTAACTAAAGCTGTGACCAGAGCTAAATCCACATGCCAGGCGGGCAGGAACTCGAGAGCCCACGCGTTACATTGCCCCCCTGGCATGGGGTGGTACCACCCCATTCAGTCCCTGCAGTTTATTCGGATTATCGTATTTATTCATCTTGCGGTTACAGCTTACTCCATAATATTAGGTAACGATGCATTTGACGAGTATCATTCAAGTTCTATATAAGTGTAAACACGTTCAAATAAATGTTTGATGTGAGTTAAGCATCTTTGATGCCAGTAAATTGCATTTCTTTCATTCGTAAATGGTACACAATCGTATGTGTAGTATGTGTACGACATTCAAAGAGATTTCCGCTTCAGTTCCTGCTGACAACTGCATTCACCTCAAGTGGCAGCTCATCTGGCCGCATGTCCGGCGCCGTTCCCAGCGCAGTCTCATTCGAATCGGATGCATCGAGCAGCATTCCATGGCCATGATTCGATATACGAAGCAGGGACTTGAGCTTGGTTGCCTGAAACTTGTACTGCGAGAAAGCGAGAATGTTAAAGCGTTTAAAGAACGAAGCCACAGCGGTAGGCGAGACGAGGCGAGGCGACTTACTTCCGTGGGCAGCATTAGGTCCTGCGACTGGCTTATGAATCGATTGTACTGCTCTGCGGCCATAGTCAGGCGTCCCGTCTCGTAACAGAAGAGGGCAAAGTTCAGGAACACCAAAGGATTCCGTCCGGCCGCCTGCTGACAAGTGGCCATGCTGCTGGACCTTTCAAGGGCCACGAATGCGTTATCCACATCGTCCAGTTTGCGCAGACAGACTGTGAATGGGGCGGATGGGGGGTGAGGACAGATCAACTTGGCAACGAAATGGGCATACAAATGGCTGGGGTTCTACTTACGACCCAGCAGCATGTAGCACTCGGCATTGTCCTTGCGCAGGTTTATGGCTGCGGCCAGCGTGTGAAAAGCGCTGGCGTATTGTTCAGCTGCGTCCGAGAGACGGGTAAAGATAGAACAAATGCCCAGCTTTTCATATTCAAAACTCAACAGGAAGGGTTAAACTCAAAAAACAATGGGGAGCAGGCAGCGCAGTCTCCCAGTTCGGATTTTGGTTGGACATTTTTGAATTCAAGAAAGTCCCCTGATGTGGCTCCTCTGGCACATCCATTGTCCGGCTTTGGCCTAGAAGCGCTTATTAATTAGCTGTGTTCCTCCGACAACAATGGCAAAAAATCTGAGGATTTGTAAAACAATGGTATTGATTTCCAACTTCATGCATTTTTAGTGCACTGCATAAATGTGGCTATGTATGAGCTCTGCAATTGTACGGAAACCAGAATCCAATGCCATGGCTTGACCCAATTTGTCTGTAGGGCAAAAGGGCAAGCCAGTGAGGTTCGTTCCCTATGTAAACATCAGAATGGAATGCAAACAAATGCGGGAAAAACTGATTAAGCCTGGACTGTGGAATTGCAATTGAATCAAATTATTTAATGCATGCCATGAAACATGCATATGAATACCCTTCCTGCTGGCCTATTGGGTATTGTGGTACACCCATAACAATCAATTGCTAATCAAATTTTCTTGTACCATTGCCGCTACCACCCCACTACTCACAGGCTATGTAGATGAGGCTCAAGTTGTAGAGGGCATTGTAATTAAGCGGCGAGAGCCAAACGGATTTGCGCAGCGATGAAACCGCCTGGAAAAAGATTCAATATTCAATATTCAAATTCAAATTCAATCAGAATTCCATCAGTGTGATTCGCTCCTCACCGCAATGAATTTTTGCTTCTTGAAGAAGCACAAACCAATGTTGTTCCACAGTTCGGCAATTTCCGGCTCAGCGTTTGCGATTTGGCTGTACTTGCTCAAGGCGCCATCGACATCGTTGCGCGACTGTCAAAGAGCACACACACAGCATAACAGTGGATTGGGTTAGGGGGTAGGCTGCCGCAATTATGTTACCTGAAGTATGGCGCCAAAGGCCAGCAGGCCCTTGGGCATGTGCGAGCATTTCCGTTCAATGTTGACGACTTCCGCCAAGCGATCGTAGGCCTTTTGGGTCTCATTGATTTTCAAGTACAAAACGCTGATTTCAATCAGCACCTCCGCATTTTCCGGCGTCAAACTGAAATCAAATGGTTGTTAAGAGGCCACAGCAGATGTCATTAGCATCGCAAACGGATACGCGACTCACTGCAGACAGTTCTCGAGAACATCGATGGCTTGCTGGTATTGCTTGTCCTTGCGATAGAGCTCTGCCAGCCGGACGTGGCTCTCCATCTTCCTGCCCGTCTGCACGGCCAGCTCGAAGTATGCGCGTGCCTCGTCCTGCTGCTTTTTGGCCAACTCCAGCTGGGTCTGAGTGGTCGCCGCCCGGTACAGCAGCTCGCCCAGATAGTGATATATTTCGTGGTCCTTGCGGGGACTGCGCTGCTCGGCCTCCCGGAACACGCCAAGCGCTTGACTAAAGCGACCCATCACGTACCTGGGTGGCGGATGAGTATGAGTATGAGTGGACATCAGATTAATGCCGCTTGGTGTGGGATAATCGACTCACAGAGTACGTCCGATTTCCTTGTACGTCTCGATGTTCTGCGGATTGAGCTCCACGGATCTTTGCAGGTGTCGCAGCGCCTCGATGTGGTTGCCCTCTTCGCGGTCAATTAGGCCCTGGCAATGACGATGGCGATGGCGATGGCGACAGCAATAAATTAGAAAATATACCCGGCATTAGCATCGCAACTAACCTGGACAAAGTACAGATACTCGGCATTCAGATGACGATTCAGCTCACGTTCGATGAGTCGGCGACAGCGGGTGAACTCGCGCCGCGTAAAGTAAATGTGGAGCAGCCAATCAATGTTGGCATCGCTGGGCATTTTGGGTGCTGCTCCAACACGAAACACACAACTGTATGTAAATCTGCATTGTTTGCGAACTGAATGGAAAGCAGTACCCACCTGGACGCACCACCTCCAGGCTGGGCAATTCAATGATTCTGCCGTTGCAATTGATCTGCTCCGCGCCGGCTTCGTACATGAGTAGATATATGTATATTTTGTTGTTGTTGGTGCTCTCTGAAATATAAAGTTTTCGGACAATGAAAATTGTAATTTTGTGTTTCGGCTGGCAGCTACAGGGCAATATGTTGTGCGCCCTTTGCGTTGCCATGGCGGCCTGGATAGTTGTTGGGGAGGGAGAGGTTCTCGTCGCATTGGGACTGCCAATGTCGACCCACTAGAATACCAAAATTAGCCTGTTGGCTGGCCAAGAGTTGTGTTATTGGCCAAAATCGGGCCTGTGCAAATTCCATGGCTTGTATTTTTAATCAGCTGCGACGGAAACTCATTCAGTTTTGGAAACTAATCGAAGTGCAATAAAAAAAATCTATAAATGCACTGGGCCAGGTAAGGTAAATAATTGCCGGGCCAAAGATACGAGAGCTTTTGTAAACAAGCAAATATTTCGGTATCTCCAACAAGTTTCCGTACACCTCGCGGTGTGTCGGTTTGCCGTCCCCCAGCTGGTGTCCACGGTACGCTCTTTGTTGTCCAAGCTCCAGACCAGACACCGAAACCGCCTAATTACTCAATTTAATTCACACCGACAAAAGTGGCAAATGGTCTCTGTCAGCGTTCGTTTCCTTTTTCGGCTGCGAGTATCGTGGTAAACATGTGATCGTGAGCTACATTTCAAATGCTCACCTGGCCAAAACCAGCGCAAATTCAAAATCAATTAATGCACCAAATATCGTACAAGATCACCAAGATAGCCATCGCATCGCATCGCATTGCATGATCGCGGCTTTATCTCAAAGTGAAGCGTTTTTTTTTCAAAAAAGGCTGCCCACGGAAAGGGAAACAATCGATCGGCTCTCGCAGTCAGGCACAGTCTGTGTCTCAGACTGCCAGTAGCTCTCCAAATTCCTGTCCTGCTAAGGTATTTGGCAAGCGATCCGAACATATTTTTTGTTTATTTTATTTTTCACGGTAAACCTAGGGATTGATTTTAGGCTTTTCCTTGGATCACGTGGACACTATATTCCCGAAAAATTGTAAAATAGCTTGGAGGGTAATACAAACTATTTTATTTATTTAGCTTTTGGTAAAGTATAAGGTAAAATCGCACCGCGGAACGCCGCCCATAAACCAAGTGCTATTGAAATAATATCGCCCATCCGGCACGACATTCTGGATCATCTTGTTTATATGCTGAACAGGAAGCTTATCCACGATAATATCATGCTAGAATTGGGGAAACCAAAAGACATTTTTCGCTGTAGAATTCAAGGATTGCACTCACGTTGTAGGGACAGGTGTGGTTGAGATTCGAGTAGTCGGCATAGGTTTGGTAAAACCAGTTGACAATGACGTTGTTGCGCTCGCGCATGAACTTGCATCCGTCGAAGCGGACATCGAAGTTGTACAGGATTCTCTTGTTCTCCCGCAGCCTTAACTGCATACTGACCTGTAAAAATCGACAGTTACGAGGCTTAGCATCTCTGAAGATCACCCTTACCGACACCGTGTTAATCGGAAGCTTGTGCATTTTGGTTTTCAGCGACAAGTATTTGTAGGAGCGATTCACGGATCTCAGATAGCAGTAGTCAAAGTCCATGAAGTTCCGATCCCGCACCAAGCAGCGAACATTGTTGAACTCAAAGTGTCCGCGGATCTGTTCGGATACAACTCAGCTCCTTAGCTCACATTACAATAACATTTTGGTTCCTTACTGCTATCGGTCCAATGGCAATTAATATCAAAAACCACAAGGTATTCATTCTGGAGTTAAACTGAGAATGAAACTCGAATAAAAACAGCAATTGGCAGTACAACAATTATAATTATTCGCTCCATTGACGCATCTAACTCTTCCTATACAAAATATCGATTTCCGAAATGATAAAGGCCATTATCTTAGTAGGTTTTTGTTTTTAAAAGCCATTAATTGCGACCAATACGAGGCTCCTGATCCCACAAAGTCAGAACAATTAATACCGAACAGTACCAAAGAGTACCGACATTGGTAACGTTGACAGCTTAAATAGCGGCAATGCTAAATTAGATTATAATTAAGGTTATTACTATTATTTAAATTCAGCAACAAATGTAGTAAAAATCAGATAAGCAGGAAGAATAACATATTTTCTGTTTATTTTATTTTTTGCGGTGAGACTTTCATATTGAAATACAACATAATAATATCGATATATGATTCGGTTCATGGGTTCTCTGGAACCAACGAACCGAAGTAAACAGAGCTATGTTATTGAACTGTTAAATTCAAATTCGACCGATAGATTTCGCGCCATTTTATGGTTAAAATGTTCAAATTTTGAAATGTGGCGCCAAATTTCCATCCCTAATAATAAATGTATTTAAAATATAATATGGTTAAGGAGATTTAAAATTCTTCATATCGGACCCGTGCGCTCTCGTTTAATTTATTTAGCTTTTGGTAAAGTATATAGTTAAATCGCACCGTGGTACGCCGTCCGTAAACCAAGTGCTATTGAAATAATATCGCCCATCCGGCACGACATTCTGGATCATCTTGTTTATATGCTGAACTGGAAGCTTATCGAAGATAATATCATGCTAGAATTGGGGAAACCAAAAGACATTTTTCGCTGTAGAATTGAAGGGTTGCACTCACGTTGTAGGGACAGGTGTGGTTCAAATTCGTGTAGTCGACAATGGTTTGGTAAAACCAGTTGACAATGACGTTGTTGCGCTCGCGCATGAACTTGCATCCGTCGAAGCGGACATTGAAGTTGTACAGGATTCTCTTGTTCTCCCGCAGCCGTATCTCCATTCTGACCTGCAAAGATAGAAAGTTACGAGGCTCAGAATCACTGAAGATAACCCTTACCGCAGTGTTTGTAATAGGAAGATGGTGAATTTTGGTTTTCAACGACAAGTATTTGTAGGTGCGATTCACGGATCTCAGATAGCAGTAGTCAAATTCCATGAAGTTCCGATCCCGCATCAAGCAGCGAACATTGTTGAACTCAAAGTGTCCGCGGATCTGTTCGGATACAACTCACCTCCTTAGCTCAAATTACAATATACATTTTGGTTTCTTACTGCGATCAGTCCAATGGCAAATAATATGATAAACCACAAGGTATTCATTCTGGAACTAGACTGAGAATGAAACTCGAATAAAAACAGCGATTGGCAGTACCACGATTATAATTATTTGCTCCATTAACGTATCTAACTACCCTATACAAAATATCGGTTTCCGAAATAATAAAGCCCATTATTTTACTAAGTTTTTGTTTTTAAATGCCATAAATTGGGACCATTACGAGGCTGCTGAACTTTTATTGAACTTTGAAAATTCAAATTCAACCGATAGCGCATTTAACAGCCCGCACTATTTGGAACCATTTTATTGTTAAAATATTCAAATTTCAAATGAGGCGCCAAATTTCAAACATCCCTAATAACAAATGTATTTTAATAAATAAATTAAATTATACATTAATTAACTCGTACCCGTGCCCTCTCGTTTTATTTATTTAGCTTTTGGTAAAGTATAAAGTAATATCGCACCGCGGAACGCCGCCCATAACCCAGGTGCTATTGAAATAATATCGCCCATCCGGCACGACATTCTGCATCATCTTGTTTACATACTGAACAGGAAGCTTATCCACGAAAACATCATGCTAGAATTGGGAAAACCAAAAGACATTTTTCGCTGTTGAATTGAAGGGTTGCACTCACGTTGTAGGGACAGGTGTGGTTGATATTCGTGTAGTCGACAATGGTTTGGTAAAACCAGTTGACAATGACGTTGTTGCGCTCGCGCATGAACTTGCAAGCGTCGAAGCGGACATCGAAGTTGTACAGGATTCTCTTGTTCTCCCGCAGCCTTAACTGCATACTGACCTGCAAAGATCGAAAGTTACGAGGCTCAGCACCACTGAAGATAACCCATAAATAACCCTTACCGACACCGTGTTAATCGGAAGCTTGTGATATTTGGTTTTCAACGAAAAGTATTTGTAGGTGCGATTCACGGATCTCAGATAGCAGTAGTCAAATTCCATGAAGTTCCGATCCCGCATCAAGCAGCGAACATTGTTGAACTCAAAGTGTCCGCGGATCTGTTCGGATACAACTCACCTCCTTAGCTCAAATTACAATATACATTTTGGTTTCTTACTGCGATCAGTCCAATGGCAAATAATATGATAAACCACAAGGTATTCATTCTGGAACTAGACTGAGAATGAAACTCGAATAAAAACAGCGATTGGCAGTACCACGATTATAATTATTTGCTCCATTAACGTATCTAACTACCCTATACAAAATATCGGTTTCCGAAATAATAAAGCCCATTATTTTACTGGGTTTTTGTTTTTAAATGCCATAAATTGGGACCATTACGAGGCTGCTGAACTTTTATTGAACTTTGAAAATTCAAATTCAACCGATAGATTTCGCATTTAACAGCACTTATTTGGAACCATTTTATTGTTAAAATATTCAAATTTCAAATGAGGCGCCAAATTTCAAACATCCCTAATAACAAATGTATTTTAATAAATAAATTAAATTATGCATTAATTAACTCGTACCCGTGCCCTCTCGTTTTATTTATTTAGCTTTTGGTAAAGTATAAAGTAATATCGCACCGCGGAACGCCGCCCATAACCCAGGTGCTATTGAAATAATATCGCCCATCCGGCACGACATTCTGCATCATCTTGTTTACATACTGAACAGGAAGCTTATCCACGAAAACATCATGCTAGAATTGGGAAAACCAAAAGACATTTTTCGCTGTTGAATTGAAGGGTTGCACTCACGTTGTAGGGACAGGTGTGGTTGATATTCGTGTAGTCGACAATGGTTTGGTAAAACCAGTTGACAATGACGTTGTTGCGCTCGCGCATGAACTTGCAAGCGTCGAAGCGGACATCGAAGTTGTACAGGATTCTCTTGTTCTCCCGCAGCCTTAACTGCATACTGACCTGCAAAGATCGAAAGTTACGAGGCTCAGCATCACTGAAGATAACCCATAAATAACCCTTACCGACACCGTGTTAATCGGAAGCTTGTGATATTTGGTTTTCAACGAAAAGTATTTGTAGGTGCGATTCACAGATCTCAGATAGCAGTAGTCAAACTCCATGAAGCTCCGATCCCGCACCAAGCAGCGAACATTGTTGAACTCGAAGTGTCCGCGGATCTGTTCGGATACAATTCAGCTCTTTAGCTAAAATTACAACATACATTTTGGTTCCTTACTGCGATCGGTCCAATGGCAAATAATATCAAAAACCACAAGGTATTCATTCTGGAACTAGACTGAGAATAAAACTCAAATAAAATCAGCGATTGGCAGTACCACAATTATAACGAGAAGGAACGTGCGAGTCGCTTCTGGTGACGCGACTCTACTTATACCCGTACTCAGTCAGTACATATTTTTCATTTTGATTTAATTTTTTCGAATTTTAGAATTTAAAACAAGTTAACATTTTACTTTTTTTTGCTACATCTACTATATACATCTACAATGTATATTATACATATAGCATGTAGATTATAGATGTACCATTTATATTCTACATCTCCTCCGCTAGGGGTTGTTCGCGCACTGAACGCGGCAGAGTGTGCGAGCGAGAAAGAGTAGAATGAGTAGCGGTTCCTGGCTGGCGGAGGCGGGCGAACCAACAGAAAATTAGTCCGATCTAATAAAGATTCAGCAATCTGGTAGATATGGTCATTTTCTACGATACTTTTTAGTTTTTATCGTATCTTTAAAATTGTGGCTGCCACAGATTTTCGTCCTTTGTGGGGGCGGAAGGGGGCGGGGCGAAATTTTGAAATACACTTGTAGCAGTGTGATATCACATGAGCCTGGAAACCAAATGTGGTTGCCTTAGCTTTTATAGTCTTTGAGATCTAGGTGCTCAACAAGACGGACAGACAGACGGACAGACAGACATGGCTCTATCGACTCGGCTATTGATGTTGATCGAGAATATATATACTTTATGGGGTCGGAAACGTTTCCTTCTCTGTGTTGCACACATCCACTTTTACCACAAATCTATTATACCCCTTAACTCTTTTTTGAGTACGGGTATAATTATTCGCTCCATTACCTTACCCAAATATCGATGAAATGATACTGAAATAATCAATACGAGACTGCCAAAAAGTCAGAACAATTAATTCCGAATACCGAATAGTAGCGTTCAGTATACTAATTTTGGTAACGTTGACAACATTGAAGATTAACAAAATTTCCAATTATATTTATACCCGTACTCAAAAAAGAGTTAAGGGGTATATTAGATTTGTGGTAAAAGTGGATGTGTGTAACGCAGAGAAGGAAACGTTTCCGACCCCATAAAGTATATATATTCTTGATCAGCATCAATAGCCGAGTCGATATAGCCATGTCTGTCTGTCCGTCTGTCCGTCTGTCTGTCTGTCTGTCCGTCTTGTTGAGCGCCTAGATCTCAGAGACTATAAGAGCTAGGGCAACCAAATTTGGTTTCCAGACTCATGTGATATCACACTGCTACAAGATTTCAAAATTTCGCCCCGCCTCCTTCCGCCCCCACAAAGGACGAAAATCTGTGGCAGGCACAATTTTAAAGAAACGATAAAACTAAAAACGCAGTATCATAGAGAATGACCATATCTACCAGACTGCCGAATCTGAATCAGATCGGATCATAATTATAGCCAGAATGAAGAAATTAATTTTCAGTTGCTTCCCCTCCCCCTCCCGCTGAGACAACACAACTCATTTTCCTTCTCGCTCGCACACTCTGCCGCGTTCAGTGCGCGAGCAACCCCTAGCGGAGGAGATGTAGAATATGAATGGAACATGTACAATCTACATGTTAGATGTATAATAGACATTTTATATGTAGATGTAGATAGCTATGTAGCAAAAAAATGTAAAATGTAAAATTTTTTTTTTTTCTAAAATTCTAAAAAATCATAAGCTCAAAAGTGTATGTATATACTGACTGAGTACGGGTATAAGTAGAGTCGTGTCCCCAGAAACGACTCACACGTTCCTTCTCGTTTTTTTTTGGCGCCAAACTCCAAGTTCCATGCCGCCCAGCCGTTGTCAGAATGCAAAAGAAACTAAACGATAAATTTCTGGGCAGTATTTTCGCAATTGTAATTTAGTGTAACTTACGTGTTAACATACATTTAAAGTCGCAGTGGCGCCATCAGTGCTAATAAAAAAAAGAAGAAAAAGCGTCAGCTGTACGGCACATCGAAATGCACAGATGGCGCCACTGCAATTATTTAGTGGCAGCCCGGATGGTGGCCCTCTGGCAGCGCCAGCAACAACCCCTAGACGATATGGCAGCGCCAGCAACGGTCTCTCGACAAATTAGCAGCTTCAGCAACGACGACGACAGGCGATAAGTAATTGTAAGCAAATAATAAGAAATAAAGAGTTATTATAAATAACCGATAGAGCGTTCATTAGCCAAGCCGACAAACATTTAAAGTTTAAAATTTAAACACATTTTTTTTTTATATTTATAAGGTTGGCTCTTTTTTAATGTTATTACTATTTTTGGAATATATATATGTATGTAAATGCCTTGATTGCCCACATTCCTATGCTATATGCTGAGTTATGCCAGCGCATTGTGTCAATTCGAAATAAGATACTTTTACCAAGAAACAACAAAGGGCGATGCGTTACCAGAGAGAAGGTCAAATGCTCTTTTATGCTTAATTAAATTTCCTTTTGTCTTCTCGTTTGATATCTGCGACTGTCGTGTCGTGTGGCGGGAAGTGGTGGGGCGGCCTAATTCAATTATTGTACCACTGTAAATATAATTTACACCCGGACCCGACGACACATCAGCCCTGTCCTGCCTTGTCTTGTCCGCATGGAGGTGGTTGGTTCGCCACCTCCCCGTTTCGTACGCACATTTGTGCGGCTAAAGGTCATAAAAAAGCGACTTATACAGCCAGCCATTCAGCATTCAGGATCTGGAGCAAAGTCAGATGCTGCTTGGGGGGCCACATCAGCCTGCAGGCTGGCAATCATTCATGTGAATTGCAAGACACAGCAGGAGGAGGAGGAGGAAGAGTCGTCGTGGCGTGAGCCTGGGCCAAGTCGTAAAGTAGCAGCAAAGATATGGCCTGCAACAAATACGAGTACGCGTACTCGTACGCGGATCGGACCAAATCTGGCTTTGGTTCCAGTCTCGCCCGGCCAGCTGTGGCGCTTCCCAATTTACGCCATCCCAACGAGAACAGGCCCTTTGTTCGAGTGTCCAGTTTATTATTTGTTCACGCCAGACATCTAAATATAGTCAGCGGGCAAGAAAGCGGCATCGACTTGTTTACCAAATGGCCAATCTGTGCAGACACAACGACAACACTCTCAATGGAAAGAAAAACAACAAAAACAACAACAGAAATAGAGGGCTGCAGATATTTGGGTATGCGTGAGTGAACCAAATAAGTGTGCTTTGTTTCTCCCTCTGAAGATGTCCGAACTGGGGGCAGGGATTCCCATTTATGGCGCCTGCGATAATATTTAATCGCAAATTGGTGTTTACACTTTCGCTGGGGGAATATAACAACCCAGTCCGAATGTTTTGCTGGTGAGGCGGGGGCAAAGATTGACAGAGCTCTTCCTGGGCTTAGTTCGGCACGGCGCTGTTTGCCATGCACTTGGCTGTGGTTCTGGCCAAGAAGCTATGCCCCGGCCTGCACGTCCTGCCACAAACTGCTGCTGAAAATCTTTTGACACATTTTCAGTAGAGAGCTAAAGGTGCGATGGGCATTAGCATATAACTATGCAGTGTCAGGGACAACAGAAAGCAACAGAAAATGGTCAATTCTTGGCACTGCCACTGCCACTGCGACTGCGACTACAACTGGCAGAAAGTGGCTGTGTGGCTGTGTGGCAGGATCCTCTGGATCCTTCGAAAACTCTGCAGCTGGAAAATATGCGTGCTGTTATTTGTTTGCTGTCGCTGTAATTTATGTCAGTCCAAAATGAAAAACAATGAAAATGTTGTGGCATTCAAGCAAGACCAACACTTGCCACACACAGAAATACAGAGACAGAGAGAGACAGAGAGAGAGAGAAAGAGAGAGAAAGAGAGAGTGACATCCATATACAGATACAGTTGCATAGAAATAAACAAAAATGTCAACAGAAATTGAAATAGAAACAGAGATACACAGATACAGAGATACTCGCACTCGTACGCACAGGGAGTTGAATGCGGCGATGCGGAATGTTTATTTGCTGTAAAATTTGAGGCATGCCCTGCAACGCTTATGAAATAGAATTTTTGCCACAGCATTGGAATTTGTTCCCATTCATGCATCAGGCAGCAGAACACAGGAAAACACAACGAGCTATGGCGTGGCGTGGCATGGAACAGCAGACCAAACCACTTTATGTAATAACTCCATTTGATACGTTGGACAGCAGTGGCAGCAGCGGCAGCAGCGGCATCCCAACATTTTCGAGGGCATAAATGCAAATTGCCTTAAATGGCAAAATATGAAATGGGAAATGTGATAGCCGGTCCATACCGTTCGAGTAGCAGCAAACATCAAAGCAAAATGCCCATTAAACATTCACCAGTTGAATTTTGTGGCATCAACGAGGGGTCTGAACGGAACAGAGAAAGGGATAGTATGTGTCTGTGTGTGTGTGTGTGTGTGTGTGTGTGTGTGTGTGTGTGTGGGCCTGTGATGTTGACGCATTTGGTTGCCCTGCTAATTTGACTTTAATAAAACACATAATGCAATTAAACTGTTGCCCCAAGAAGCGGCAGCCCACATCGAATGCGATGCTCGGAGTCGGGTTCAATAGGTTCATCGAAGGGTTATTTGGGCGCCTGCGGGCCCTCCAATGATTGATGGAAAACCACCAGCAACAGCAACAGTAACGGGGGGAGTGTGAGGCATAGAGGGAGGTTTAGAGTGTGAGGAAACTGTGGCTTTTTCGGTTAATGAATTATAATCAGGGGTAGGGCCAGGGCCAGGGCCAAGGGGCAAGCCAATGTGTTGAGTTGTGGTGTCTCCTATGTTGCTTCCTGTCTCCCTGCCACATGTGGAAAAGTGAATTCTGAGTCGTTAATTAATTAAATTGTCATAGCCCCTTGGGTGCCTTGGCGACAATTGAGAAATCTTTAGCTAGGCTGCCATCTGAACTCGAAAATCTCTCTCGAAACTCCGAGTTTTGAGTGCCACTTGTGGTGGCAGGGAGGCCACCCCAAGTTGCATGGGGTGGCTGGGGGCTGGGGTCTGGCTTTGCTCCAAAAATTAATGAGTTCGGTTCGCCAGAGTGGAGTGGAGCCGTACCTTAATTTGAACCGGAATACACTGGCAGAAGCCGGCCCGCAGACATATCGTAAATAATCGTTTATTGAATGAACTACAGATACTACAGGCACATCTTTATATGTCCACATATTCACACCCATATACTCGTATTGTATGCCGACTGCTCAAGTGAATCATGCACGAGCGATTCATTCACAAAAGCGAGTAAATAATTCAATTTAGATCGAATGCGTCATCTTCTGATAATTAAAAAAACAAACAATCGAACAACAAGAGGAGCATAATACATGGAGCACAGTACCGACTGGCAGGTACCCTAAAGGCACGGGCAGCTGTCTAAAAATTCCTCATATTGTAATAATTATTATTAAATATAAATATATTTCCCATATAAATTAATATTTAAAAACATTTCATATATGCCACAAATTAAATTTAATAAAATTGTAATAAATTGAATATAATTACCCCTACTTAACAGGACTAAAGGCTCTCCAGGAGGTTCTGTAATAATAAAATTCTTTAATTTAACAAGATTTCCCATGGTCTGAGGTTTCATTTGATTGCAGGGTATGCGGGCAGCGCATAAAATACCGCGGAAAGAGTTGACAACCAAACTCAAACGCACCCCAATGAATGCATCTCACACAGCTGCACACGAGACTGTGTGTGTGTGTGAGTGTGTGTGCAAGCGACGTCATGAAGGTCAACAAACAAACAATCCATTGAGATCCCCCCAGCCACCCAATGGGTGACTGGTCAATTGAAGAGGTTAAATTTGTGTGTGCCTCTCCCTCGCTCGCTCACTCACTCACTCTCTCTCTGTTTGGGGTCAGGCTTAGTCATGTCCCCAGGGTGTTAATGCTAAGGCCCCAAAATACCAGGGTGTGTGTGTGTGTGTGTGGTGCAGTTATGGCTGGCAATTATAATTTGAACAAATTATAAATTAATGCGTGCTGGTCATACGCCGGTCATCAAAGCATAATTGTAATTGTTGACTTACGGCATACGGCATACGGGGGGGGCATAGCCCAAATAGGGGAGGAATGTGGCTTGAGGTCGAGGCGGGGTTAAGAGCTCTGAAGAGTCGGTCTGATTATTAAAATTTAATCAGCAAATGCATTGTATGGTGTGCGGCAAGGAGAAGTCAACTATGCGGGCCATCGTTATATATACATACATATATATGTATATTTTTTTTGGTTTTTCTGTTTGCTGTTTGTGAGCCAACTCAAACACCGCCAAACTACCACAATTCATTAATTAGGCGCGGTCAATCAGGCAAGCCATTGAAGGGTAAATGTATCTTAACCGTTCGCCATTTAGCGGTTGAATCGGCTGACGAATGGTTGGGGCAGGGGAAGGGGAAGGGGTTTATGTGTTTGCCTAACAAGCAACAATGGCTGATGAAACTAATGCCCGGAACGAACCCCGACTCTGTAGCCGCAACATCAGCCGAATTGATCCTAGAAGTTGGCTGGCATTTTGAGGGGCAAGCTCTGCCTGGGATTTGCTCTAATTATGCATTTTCCTGCACTCTTGCCACAGAGTAATCCATACAGTTATGAGATGCTTGGAACCAAAGCCCAAATTGCCGCATCCCATTCAATCTGTTGTTCTTGGCTCAAGGCTCAAGCCCCACACATAGGCAACAATTATTCAGCAAGGAAAGGAGATATCAAATTAGTGAGCAAATCCATAAGCCGAATCGGAATCGATATCGAATTCAAATTATGTCCGTGCTGCTACTCCAGCCGAGGCTACTATATACTCGTATTTATTTATTCCAGTTTTTGTATTCTAGATTCACACACAGACACCCGAGACATAGTTTCCTGCTGCATTAGTGTGTGTGTGTGTGTTTGTGCGGCTGGTCAGGTTGTCTGGGAAATCTTGCGGTTGCTTTGCTCAGTTGGTGGCCTGCTGACAGCTCATTAGGCCAGGTGCCGTGCAACCACCCATCTTTAGTGCACAGCAGACCACTCCTCTATCCTCGTCTCTTGTCATCTTCCCCACCTGAAAGTGTGAAAGTGAGGCCCGCTGCCAGTGTTGCTCCTCCTACTCTCCCCAACTCTTGTGCTTGGCATTTGGGGGCAGGGGCAACTGACGGATTTTGACAATGTGCGTCGGTCTGTGGATGGATGCCTTTGCACTTGATGCCGGTGCTTGGACCTCCACTCCTGCCTGCCTGCCTGCCTCACTGCCCTACCCCCCGTTCGGGCAACCGCATCCGAGCACGGAGAGTTGTCAACCATTGGACATGACATGGAAAAACAGCGTTAACCACATGTCCTGCCTAGTCTTAAGAGCCTTCCCTTTCCCTCTACATTCTCTCTCCTCTCTCTCTCTCTCTCTGCGTGTGTGTGTGTGTGTGTGTGTCTTTGCTTCTGTGGCAGTGGCAATCACTTGATTTGATGGCACACAAGAGCAGCAGCAGCAGCCACATGAAACTGCATTTCATTTTTGTGGAAATTTGTGTTGCATAAAACTCTGTGCTGTGCTGTGCTGCACCACCCCCCTTACACCCACAAGAGTTGTTGCATTTTTCAAGCAAATTAAGTTAATTAAAAAGTTGCAAGATTTGTGAAGTAATTATCATAAACAAGGAAACTGTGTGCCGCATCTTTTGCCAGGGGATTGGGATTCAACGTTACCTACGTCCCTCCTGTTCTGTGGTACCTCCGCCTCCGCCTCCGCCTGCGCTTCCTCCTGTTCTGTGGCTCATCTTCTCCTGTTGCTGTTGATGGTTCTGTCCTAATTCTCCTCCTGGTTTTTGCTGTTGGTGGCGATGTGTGCGTGTGGATAAAGTTTGCTGCCATGGCATATAAACACTTCAAGACGTTGCGCCTGATGCGTTCAGCCTGGCTTCAAGACGCCAGCCACACGTAAGAGATTCAAAACGAATGAGAGTGGAGCTGGTGGTGGTGTTGGTGGTGTTGCTGGTGCCACTTGCCAAAGGCAACTTCAAGGATGCTCCAGTCCAAATTTAAAAACCTTTCACCAGAGAACGAAAGAGAGTGGGAGAAACAAGAGGAAAGCTGAAACAGAATGGAATGAATGGAGAATGGAATCAAGAGATATGTCAGATGGCAGTTGGCTGTTGGCAGTTGGCAGTTTGCAGTAGCTGTAGCTGCCCCTATGCTGTGGCAGTGTGGCAGTGTGGGAGCTGTGAGAAAAATGAGCAACTACGAGACAGAAGAACACACTCGGAACAGAGCTAAAGAGGGGACACACACACATGTTGAGAACAGGTACACAAGTGGAGCTAGAGGAACACATATACGTCAGCTGCAGCTCGTACCCATCCCATCCACCCATCCCTTGCAGCTGGCAAAAAAGAAGTCATTGGAGCTCGTTGAGCCGACATTTTGTTATTGCCGACAGTTGCGGCCAGCGCTGGTGACACTTGAACATAACTGGGTTCTGGTTTCTGGTTTCTGGTCTCCGAGCGCCTTTTGTGCCCCGCCTGAGTGCACTGATTATGCACCAGGGAGGGCAAGCCTCTCTACCAGTAGGTGGGGTGGGGGATTTGCAGAGCTAGCAAGCGGAGAATGGAGAGCCCTAACAATGCGCGTTAAGATTTACAGCCTCTTATATTTGTTGGATATGCAGCAAGGGGGCCCAGCCTTTGGCTTAGTTTTGTCGTGAATTGTAGCGATTTGTGCTTTTATTTTACAGGTTTCCCACAGCATCAAATGGGAATTAAATACAATTTTGAGCTCGTAGATGATTTTTTAGCTCAGCTTTGATTTGATTTAGCTTTGGTTTTAGCTGATTCAACCAACAGGTTTTCCTTTAATGGCTTAAAGCTAATAATAAACTGTATAGAAAACATTACGAGTATTTGCATTAATTATTATTCATCTCTGTAGAGCTCGCAACCAACAGAAATCAGTGGCAGTTTCTGCTCTCTTTAGAGCTCTCTCAACTGCTCTCGAACTTAAATCTTTAGCTGTTTTTTGTATACCCTATGGACTGTAATATTCTATGTGTTTGGTGCTATGTCTACTGTCGATTTAGCAATTTTTAATCACATCAATTACGTAGCTACGTTTGCTTCTCTTTCTCTTCTCGATCTCTTTAGTTTTTGCTTGCAAACCAAATCGATTCTTTATACCACCAATGAAGTACACTAAAGGCTTCTATGTGTTCAAGTTTTAGTTGTTTTTCCCAGTGAAAAGTGCCTTGTTTGGCTGCTCTGGCAATTTGTGAGCTGCTGATCACGGTGAGCGAGGCGTATACTTGATAAGAGGCCCCCCCAAAGCAGCAAGTCATCATTGTTGGCAGTTTGGGTCTGCGTTTGTTTTGCTTTTGTGTTTCGCTTTGATTTCGGCTCTCTCATTATCTGTTGTGCTCCATAGATAAGGTGATTCTATAAGAACGCTGACACCAGGCCACAGCGATTCAGTTGTTTGCCGAGTGGCGATACGAGAATGAATGCTTGGCAGAGTCTGACACGACGCCTGGCCGTTGCCACAGGCCCCATTCGATCACTGGGAAGCGCCTCGGCACAGGCACAGACCCAAACGAGTGCCGAGGATGTGGAGGCACGTCCCTACAGCGATGTGCCGCGTCCCGGCAAGCTGCAGTTCATGCGGAGCTTCATGCCCGGTGGAGAGTTCAGCGACGCCTCCATTGTGGACTTCTCGGTGGCTATGCGGCAGCGGTATGGCGACATCTTCGTCCTGCCCGGCATGTTTGGCAGCAAGGATCGTGTGGTGACGTTCAGCACCAGTGACATTGCCACTGTGTTCCGGAATGAGGGAGCCTGGCCACGTCGCGAAAGCTTCGATTCGGTTACGTACTTCCGCCAGCACATTCGTCCAGATGTCTATGGGAATAGCCTCGGCCTGACGGTTTCGTAAGTAGGTTCCAAAGTGCTGCCGGCTAAGGTGAACTAATGGCAATGGAAAATCTGCAGGCAGTCGGAGGACTGGGGCAAGATGCGCTCCGCCGTCAATCCGATCTTCATGCAGCCCAAGGGCCTCCGGATGTACTTCGAGCCGCTGTCCAACATCAACAACGAGTTCATCGAGCGGTAAGGCTTGCTCTTGCTCTTCTGATGGTTTTGGTCAAGGGGGTAATGTGATATCTTCGCTAGCATCAAGGAGATACGCGATCCGAGGACGCTGGAGGTGCCCGAAAACTTCATAGATGAGCTGCAGCGCCTGATCTTCGAGTCTCTGGCTCTGGTGGCATTCGATCGACAGATGGGAATCATCAGGAAGCACAGGGACAATCCCGACGCTCTGGCACTCTTCCGCACCTCGAGGGACATCTTCCGCTACGCCTTCAAGCTGGACATGAGGCCATCCATATGGAAGATCGTCTCCACGCCCACCTACCGTAAGATGATGCGCACCCTCAGCGAGGGCCTGGACGTGGCCCAGCGCATCCTCGCTGACTCGCAGCAAGCCCTGGAGCAGCGTCGCCAGGCCGGCGAGCAGGTGAATAGCCACAGCATTATGCAGCGGCTGCTGGAGATCAGCCCCAACGTGGCCCTCGTCATGGGCATGGATATGCTTTTCGCCGGAGTGGATGCCACATCCACACTGCTCTCCGCCGTGCTGCTCACCCTGGCCAAGCATCCGGATAAGCAGCAGAAGCTGCGCGAGGAGCTGACAAAAATCATGCCCACCAAAGACTCACTGCTCAACGAGGAGACGATGAAGGACATGCCCTACCTGCGGGCCGTGATCAAGGAGACGTTGCGCTTCTATCCCAACGGCCTGGGCACCCTGCGCAGCTGCCCCGAGAACGTGACTCTCTCGGGCTACGAGGTGCCAAGCGGTACCCCCGTCCTAGTCGCCGCCAACGCCCTGATGAAGGACCCCGCCTACTATGCACGGCCCGACGAGTTCATGCCCGAGCGCTGGCTGCGCGATCCGCAGTCCGGCAAGAAGTTGCAGGTCAGCCCCTTCACCTTCCTGCCCTTTGGCTTTGGGCCGCGCATGTGCATCGGCAAGCGGCTGGTGGATCTCGAGGTGGAGACCAGCGTGGCCAAGCTCATCCGCAACTTCCACGTGGAGTTCCTGCACGATGCCAGCAAGCCCTACAAAACTCTCTTCGTGATGGAGCCGGCCATAGACTTTCGCTTCAAGTTTACAGATCTTAAAGATTAAAGAATTGCAGAAGTGCAGTCTGTGGTGTGACTTCCCCCCCTGTTAGATAAGATTAGAGTACATACTTTAATTAAATTAAGCCCTCCAATTGATAAGGTTCGAGTGGAGCTCCCACTCGAAATGATAAAATGGATTTCTAATTGCCAGGCGGGCCAAAACCAAAAGTCGAACAACATTTAAATGTTGCCTCTAAATGTTTGGCGGTTATTGAGTGCGGAAAAGGGGTGGCTGCAGGAAGAGAGGTGAGAGCAGGGGGTTGTGCTGGCCCGAGGGGTGTGCAGACATAGCTGTGTCTGTTTTCTGGTCAGCTGCAGCCACAAAACTCTGCATTTGGCCAATTGGAAAATGCAAATTTAATTACCGTAAAATTGAAAATCTACTAGTCAAATCTCCTTCTATGGGGGGGTGGAGGGGGGAGCATGTACATATTTGGGGCATCGAACTGTTGCAGCTTTGTATGGATGTTTTTATTAATTGTATGGCTCTCAGGGCAAGTGGCAAAATACAAGTGGTTTAACGGCTATAAATTGAATGCAACGCAAATAAGTAGTCTCTAAAATCTGGATAATAGAACCATCTATCTATAGCGCTATAAGCTACAAAACTGACAGCTCTCTTTCGCTCCGGCCAAGGACACTCTTTGCGCTGCTGCTTGTGCTGGGTGTCGGGTGAGGTCTGTGCGGCAGGTTGTTTCCAGTGGAGTGGATGCTTGTCGCTTACCTTTGCGCAAATATTTCTAACCAACAACAATAGCAGGGGGTGGCAACAGCAGCAGGAGCACACCAAGCGGTGTGGAGCGGTGTGGAGCGGTGGCCAGAGCAAAGTGCAGACATATCGCCTGCGGCAAGCGGAGTTATGCTAACTGGCACTCTCAAAGCCAAGCAAAGCGCGGCATGGTGGCGGCGGCGGCGATGGCGGCAGCTCTGGTGGAAGTCGAGTGCCAGCTTGTAACAATAATTTAAGCGATTTTGCGCTTTTTGCGAGTGGGTTAATGGTAGGCAAGAACGCCAGCCCATACCGGGATCGTGGGATCCTTTGCCGTGGCTGAAATTCCCTACTTTTTGTGTGCTATTTTTTGGTTGCTTCAGCCCCAGCTGCAGAGCGACTCCTGGGCGAACGCACATAGCTCATGAATTCCGCAATTCTGCTGCGGTGCGGATGCCGGCTGTAAAGGGGGCGCACGGGGGCTCCGGTCCGGCACAAAGTAAAAATGCAGAACATGTGATTGGTGTTGCTAGTGGTAGGGGCAAGGGGCAGGGGCAAACATGAAGTTGTTCCATGGAAAGCCGACTGCAAAGGACAAAGGATGGGTCCAGTTTTCAGATGTCTATCGTGCCGCCACAGATCCATCTCCAGTTGCACTCCCTCCCTCGCTCTGCCATGCCCAGTGGCTACTCCATATTAAAATTGAATTTAAGCAGAGGCCACGCACAACGTGACGTATGCGTAATGCGGCATGCAATCTTTTGTGTGCGCCTTCGCTTGGAAATGCCTTTGGCCATAACTAATCTGAAGAGCCTCTGCTTCCGCTGCTCCCAGGCCCCCCACCCCCCCCCCCTGACGTTTAATATTTCTAGCTGGTCGCACTTCACCCCCCGCCCTAACCCCCCTGGGCTAACCTAACCCTTTCCCCTGCACGAGTTTTCCGTTTCTCTTTGTTTTATTCTATTTTTTTTTCTTCTAAAAAATTTCATACTCATCAAGTTGACAAAGAAAAAGTTTTTCATTATTACATTTCGCTGTCATTTGGGCGCAGAAATAGCTTGGAAAAGTTCTCATCCTCTGCTGCCGCTGCCGCTGCTGCTGCTGTAACTCGAGTGCAGCGCGTAAATGAGCCAGCCACTCCCACTCCCACTCCCTCCCTGCGTTGGCCACCCGCAGCAGCAGTCAGCTCTCATCATCAGATTTCTACGCAGCAGAAGGGGTGACGGTGACGATGACAATGGCAGTGGCAGTGGCAGTGGAGCGACAGGCAGCGGCGGCCCAGTGCGTAGCTGATGTAATTTTCTTGGTCTGAACTGACGAGTCGCATCCTTGCACATTAATCCATTGGTCCCTGGTCCCTGGTCTTGGTCCTGGTCCTGGTCTTCTTTTGGGTCCTTGGTCCCTCGTCTTGAACCCTGCCTTTGCTGCTGCTGCACGCAAATGAGGGTATGGTCAAATCACTCACTGTCAGCCTGTGTCCCAAGGAATGCGTTCAGCGTGTCCTTTAATTTTTAGCTCGACTCGACTCCACTCCCTCCCCCACCTGCCCCGGAGGCCAGGGTGGCAGGCAGTCAGCTCGAGCAATTTCTATAACTTGACGTTTGCCCGCCCACCTACCAGCGCCCTCAACTCGTTTGTCCAGCCTGTACTTGTGTTTCGCCCGCTTGCCTTTGCCTGCCGCCCGATGCCTGCTGGTTGCCGCTTTGCTGCCTGTCAGCGGAGCTTAAGATAAAAACTTTCCTTTCCACCGAAAAGCGAGGAACAGGCGAGAGCAACAACCAGCACCAGCACCAGCACCAGCAACGGCAACAGGGCGACGGCAGATGGACAAGAAAGGGTTGACGCTGACATTTAGCTTTCGCATATTTGCACACACAGCCAACGACGCTGGAGGCTGGAGGCTGGCTACTGGCCATATATTTGATAGACTAAGGCGAAGACATGACAAATTCTCAAATAGAAATTCTTCAGCCAGGATTCTTGGCCGAAACTTAAGTTCATTTTTTGGTCGATTGTTCTGGTACTTTTTTTGTTTTTTTTTTGGTGCGGCTTTTGTTGTAGATACCAAAAGAATTCAAATTAAATTTCAATTGTGCGCCTGCTGGCTGGCTCTTTGATTTTTGTTTTTGTTTTTGTTGTTTGTGTGTGTGCTCTGACACGTGCTGTCAATGGGTGTTGCAACTACTTCTGTGACATTCGAAAATTCTGGCATTACGAGGCCCCACCCCACACTCAACAGACCCACTGACGTTTCTCTTTGGTCATGCTTGCCCGAAGGGGGTTGGGTTCTTTCTGGCTGCTCGTTTTGGTAATTGCTTGGACAATCTGTTCCCAAAATGTATGCATGTCCCCCCCCCCCTGCAGCTGGGGTAATGGTGTGGTTCAGGGTCTGTGTTGTCCAATCGAGCCTCCACTCGAGGGAGGCCCGATTTCATTCATCAAGTGTAGCGCACACGCATTGCCAAATTTACACAGCTACACATACACACCTACACCTACGCCTTCCCTCATACACACATGAGACATGAACTGGCTGCAGCTGGCATGGCCAGGCCACCCGCACAACCCACTCACCCATTCATATATTTTATGTTTTGTTTACACTGTTACCGGCTTTCGCATCAACAGCAAGAAGTACACGAGGAAACAGAGAGAGAGAGACACAGCGTAGAGAGAATTGGGTTTGTGAGTGACGTCACTGGCATACGTGCTATAAAAAGCCCCACAGTTCCTATAAAGCAGCAAAAGAGAGCGCATAAAGATTGTAAAGAGCGGAAGGACCCGAAAGCGAGTCAGAGAGAGAGACAAGGGTGAGGGTGTTGGTGTTGGTGTTGGTGTGGGTCGGTGGATGGTTGTGTGTGCGCAATTAAGGAAGGAACTCGCAATTTGGCTGCTCATTTCGTACATTTTGCGGTGAGTAGAAGTTTCCGCAGAGCAACTACAGCTAAATACGTGCAAAAGAGAAAGAGAGACAGAGAGAGAGAAAGCTAACGATGTGCAACGAACAACGAGCAACGTCATCGGCTTAAAGCATCCAGCAAACAGCTACAACATCGTTCTGGACCACGAACTCTGGCTCTGGCGCTGGCTCTGGCTCCGGCTCAACGTCGTCATCATCGCCATAGCCATCGTCATCGTCATCGTCCTCGTCAGGAGCTGCAGCAGGAGGCAGGCAGCGAGCAGAGTTGTCGTTGTCATTGGCCAAACAGAAACGAGTCAACGTTCGAGTACGTCGGTCGGGTCATGTCATTGCGCTGTGTGTTGCACTTTGTGTCGTCGGGCAGCGGCAACCAACCAAAAGCTATAGCGAGAGACAGAGACACTAACGCAAAGAGCGGACAAAACTAAAGCCCAGCATCAGGCGCAGCACATGGCGACTGTTTTGGCCATGCTGTCTATATTCACGTGTGTATGTATTTGAAGTGTGTGTGTGTGTGTGTGTGTGTGTTTGTGTGGATAACCGGCCTTTGTGTTTGTGATATGTAAGCGGTTTCAACGCGTGACGACAGCCGCCGCCATGTGGAAGGCCCAAAACTAGACGAAGAAATTGCTTTTAAAACAGCTTTAAACCAAAAGCAAAGTGAATTTGTGCCAAAGAAAAGAAAACACCGAACTCTGTTATCCTGCTAACCAAATGGACAAGTTACACTTTTCCAGCATGAATTTTTAGAGTAAGTTTCAGCCTTTGTGGCACACAAAACCGATGTACCGCTCTGCTCCCTCGCACACAGCTACAGATGCCTCCTCCGGCATTTTTTATTTTATTTTATTTTTTTTTTTTTTTTCTATTTTTGCCGGTTTTTGCTTAAAGCACGCTCTCTCTCTCCCTCTTTCTCTTTCCCACTGTCGCTCTGTTCCGGCATTGCTCTTGTACTGCTCTCTGGGATATTTCGCCTGCGCCGCTAGAGAATGTGATTGTGGAACAAAAAAAGAGCGCGCCAAAAGCTCCACAAATCGTAGTAAGCGGCGAAGTTCAAGTGCCGGTTGTACTACGCGGGGTGGCGCCACTATGGGGCAGAGGGACAACAGACTAGCCCCCTTTTACCTGCTTTTTTGATGGAGCCACGTTCCATGTTCCTTTCTCATATCATTAAAATTCCATTTTGTCTCGTCTCGACTTTTTGGGATCTCTCTGCCTTTTTACTCCCTGCCTTGCTCTCTCTCTTTGTCGCCTTTTTGTTGTGGCATTATTGTTATTTGCGTGTGCGTGTGTGTGTGTGTGTCTCGCCCAGTCTCCACTTCCTCTTTGAGTTGCTGCTGCTGGTGCTGCTGCACGTGTAGCTGTTGCTGCTGCTACTGTGTGAAATTTCCGCACCGGCAACAAAAGTGCGAAATAATGACCGACTGCCTGTCACATGGCTGACTGCCTGCCAGCCGCCTGCCAGCCTGGTACTGTGACTCCTGGTCCTGCCGCAG